ATGTGGTGCAATAAATACATTAATCACATCATTGCATAAATTAAATTGGTCTTTTGCAATGATATGACATCATATGGCAGTTTATGCAGCAGCGTTTGGCTGGTGCAGTGGTTGGTCAGTTTATGTGTTTATGTACCTGAATAGGGAAGATTCCTGGGAGAATGGGGCAGGTGATGCCAATGGCCCGACAGTCTTTGGTAAATTTAAGGAAGGTTTCTGCCCTGAAAAAAAGCTGGGTGACGATGAAGTGAGCACCAGCATCAACCTTCTCCTTCAAGTGCCTGAGGTCATCTTCATAGCTCTCAGCCTCTGGGTGACCCGTGGGGTAACCTATCATTACATTTGAGAGGGGTTTGAGCTGGTGAATTTTAGAGTTCCATGCAAAAATCACAATGTACAAATGTACACAACTAGAACCAGAAATCTAGAAAATTGCTGCACGAAAACCATGTGTTGTTGTAAAGTATTCTGAGTGGTTGCAAGCTAGGTGGTTACTGGCTCAGGACCCTACTTCAATGTAAGCATATGGTACTTTATCATCAACCAGGAGAAAATCTGGGAACAATGGTAATTTGCCTTAGCAAACACCATTAATTGCTTGTCTGTCTAAAGCTCACCTGCAACACAGATATCAAAATAGTCATCGAATTCACAGCGAATGTGCTTGACCAGATCTGTAGCATAGTTGAAACCTCCATTTTCCTCCACCCAATCCTCCCCAATAGGATCTGCAAAAGACAATTCGGGTCAAATCGGGTTCACTCTACCGAACATCCAAAACAAGCCTGTGTGCAGGGCTAAATGTGCTCGCTGTATGTGTGTAGTGTGTAGACAGCAGTCTTGGTCCGCTGGTTTGGTGCACACCAGTGTTCGAATGGCAGCGTTCACACTTATTCAAGTGAACTGCGCAAAAAGAGCAATCGCACCAGGGTTCGTTTTAATCGGAAAAAAATATGGCAAGTGTGAAGGCACCCAAAATACCTAATTTTGGCCAAATTCTACAGCAGTACTGCATGTATCCTTCATCGGGAAGGCAAACCTAGTTTCACAGACAAACACAGTGGGGGAAAAAGAATCCAAGATGGCAGACGGACTAGAGAGAAAAGATTATTATAAGCTATATACTTAAATCTCATTCAGTATTGAAAAGTTCACTAGTTTTAACATAGGTAGGACATAAATTTAATTAAAAATTGTCTATTTTACCAAATATCGTACATACATTACTGTAAAACTGATGCTGCCATTCAAAAGTAAATTAAGTCACTCACTTATGAGGATCCGTAACAGTTACGATGCTACTTTAGAGAGCAGTTGAATATGTAGACAGCATGACCTTTTACTAGGTTTTGAAACTTTTTTGGGGGGGTGGAATCAAAATGTGTTGTTTGAACCTATAAATAAGTAACTCATAGATTTCAAATGAGTCAGTGTTCATACCTCCTCTGAGGGCCATGATATTCTTTAGGCCTAGCCGCTTGGCTTTATTTAAATGGGCTGATATTTTCTCTTTCGTCTGATTACAGCATGTCAAATGCAGGACACTCTCCAGGCCGCAATAATTGACTGCTGTGCTTGCTATCATCATGGAAGACGTTTCTTTATCTGAGCCCGGATCTCCAGCGGGATGCCAAGTGATGTCAATGAAGAGAGGACCTCCAGAACCCATTCGGTCAAATCTAAGACACAAAGAACAGAAATATAAGAAATATCATGAAAATTTGGAAGGAAAATATGATTGATTTTCAAATGTGTCACAATGGTGTATATATATGTAATGATATATATATATATATATGGACCTGTTTTTTTTGGAGATTCACCCAATTACAAAAACATAAAAAGTAGATCAGCATTTTTTTGCTTTCCTACCTAGAGATAAGATTGACTGCTCCAGAAGTTGTGCGGGGTGGGAAGAACTCTAGTGAGAACCAGTGGTCCCCAGACTCGATCCGCCGTTTCATCTTGTCCCGCAGCCGGTCAGTGCGGTCGGCGTCCAGAACAGGGGTTGAGCACCTGGAGCTCTCTTTGGAGCTCTCTCCACTGTTACTGGCCCCGCTAGAGTCGCTCTTAGAGGACTGCCAACCTATGTCAGCTCTTTGGTTCACCATGTTTCCTGTACTAAGTGCTGAACGTCACCCCAAAAAAAACAGAAAACACGATCACTGACTATGTTCAGAATGGAATACTAGGTGCACAAAATTACTGTATTCTACTAATGAAAAAAATAATAAGTGAAAAGGTATTCACTATATTATAAAAAAAATCTTTAAACGGTATTATACATCATCCTGCAAATAAAAAAAATGGGTATTTTGTATTTTTTTTATTACATTTTGTAAAAATGTCTTAACATTCGGCAGTCCGATCATATGAGTTAAAGGAGAACTCCGGCGCAAAATGAACCTTTGGTCTTAATAAAACATTGGTACTTAGTCAACCGTTCTCTGAGATTTGTTTTCATGATAATCGAATGTAAAGAGTTTTATCTCTAAAAACTGTTTAGCGTATAACGCTAGTAATGGGGGCATATAATTAGTAAAACGAAAACGCTAGTTTATACCACTAACAAGGCTCAAAATAGCCCCACACGAACACAGTAACATAGTGAGGGTCTCTACATGCAAAACGAAGCATTGAGAACTTTGTAAGTGTACAGACCGTTTAATAAGAAGATAAAGATAAAGACAGTCCACTTCGTGTATACAGACAGGAGCCATCTTTGGAAAACAGTCTCGACTAATCAAACCACGAACGACGTGCTAAGTGAGCTGAACTGTATGAATGGCGTTCGTGGTTTGATTAGTCGAGACTGTTTTCCAAAGATGGCTCCTGTCTGTATACACGAAGTGGACTGTCTTTATCTTCTTATTAAACGGTCTGTACACTTACAAAATTCTCAATGCTTCGTTTTGCATGTAGAGACCCTCATTATGTTACTGTGTTCGTGTGGGGCTATTTTGAGCCTTGTTAGTGGTATAAACTAGCGATTTCTTTTTACTAATTATATGCCCCCATTACCAGCGTTATACGCTAAACAGTTTTTAGAGATACAACTCTTTACATTCGATTATCATGAAAACAAATCTCAGAGAACGGTTGACTAAGTACCAATGTTTTATTAGACCAAAGGTTCATTTTGCGCCGGAGTTCTCCTTTAAGAGAGAGATGTGTAAAAAATTGCATATGTAATGACTTCACAGTGGAAATGAAAAGTCGGGCCCACTGTATTGTGGGATATACAGTATCCAGAACACTGTTACTGTGCACATGACTCTTGAATCTTTAAATTGTGTAAAATTATGTAACATTATTTCAGTAACATGTACGTAGTTGAAGAGATAAAAAGCACATTATCATTATAATATAAACTTTTAATTTAAAGTTTACTACTCAAACATGTATTACTGACAGCTAAAATACTTAGTACCATATGAAGGTGATGCGTTACGTTCATGTCTTTCTCAAATATTTATGGCATACACGACTCATGACAGCAGGCATATTTGTAGTAATTGCTCACGATCTTTCCTTTATCATAAACATGAATGGATAGCAGTACGTTAAGTTTAATAAAAAAGATATGATGATCCTAATAGCTAACTTCAATGGATTAAATTTTGCCCATAACGGGTCTCATTTGACATAATAATGAAGACATGCTTATGCAAAAAGTTGTGTTTCAAGGCATGGTTTTAAAGCAGGCAATCAATGCATGCAGCAAACATCGTTTTATATGACATAACTCATTTCAGAAATTATTTGTGCATCTTTTGGTATTGTGCGAAAGGGTGGTCTAGACATGCGGGTCCGCGCGACTGCAGCCTATAAATAGCCTAACCGAAAGCGAAACATTCATGCCGGCTCTGTAAACGTGTAAAGAAGTCTTTGCTTCATTACCTTCAACCTTTTCCCGATCCCCTAGGAGTTATGAGTGGATAGTACAGTTCCAGTGCTCTGGCTCAACAGCGTGTGCGAACACAGCATGGACGACAAAGAGGATGGTGTTATGGTGGACCACGCCCATTTCACACTAGTCACGCCCACTTCTGTCCACAGGATCGTCCTATTGGCTGCAGTGTCTGTCATCGTTTATGATGTAAACACACCACTTGTACTCATTAATAATTAAATGAGCTATATAACAAAATTAAGGAAGTGTCTTACAAAATACTTCACAGAATGTACCCTGCTAAGCATGTTTCGAAAAGATTTAAGCCTAATATTCCATATACCTGTGAATTTTGTGCACTAGAAAAAGAAACTGTTTTTTCACTGTATTTATTTTGGAAAGACTTAGAAACCTTTATTAGTAGAAAACTGAAGTGCATGATAGACATTTGTGTATTTGATGGGCTTTTTTATACTCAGAATGACATTTTGGAATGTAAAGAACCACATATTATACAGTTATTTATTTTGTTAGGAAAATACCATATACACAAAAAAGTGGGCTCAATGCAAACCAAATTTTTCACATTTTAGAAATGACTTTAAATTATATGTAAATCTTTTGGAACAAAAAAAAAAGCGCTGAAAACATGTAATGCTTTGAAAGCACTGGATTTTATGTAATTTTTCTATTTCTTTTTTCTCTATTTTTATTTATTTATTGTCTTTCATTTCCTGGCAGCGAATGTAATGTGAATATGTAATACCTCTTGTTCTCATGGCATTGAATAATAAAACAAATACATTTTAAATTAAAAAGAGCTATGTGTATGTGCAGGATAAAGGCAGATAAGCAGCACACGCCCACACTGAAAAAAGAAAATAAAAGTCAACAATCAACCTATTTATTTAAACTGTTCTTTAATCTTTGAAGTCTTTTGTTTAATTTTTCCTGTAATATTATAATGCACATGGACCTAGTGCGTTTTGTACACGTAAAGCTGGGTAGCTGGCGCGCGCTTGACTAAAAAACGATTGAATCCAGCTTGTCTGCGTTAAAGTTACGCAGCTGGTGCGCGCTTGAATGCCTCAGCTCTCGTGTGATGGTCATGTGATCAGGTGCGCTCTAGTAGCGGTGTGTTGCTGAAGATGGCGTGTTGTGGAGGCTGTTTGTGTTGTCATTGCTGCTGCAATGAAGGCGATATAAGAACACCAGAGGAGCTGGTATGAGTGAATTTATGTGTATTATCTGTTTCATAACGGAAAGCGCCTTGTTGAATGTTATGCGCGTCCTTTCTAATGCGCAAAATGATGCTTCATCTGTTATTCTCCACCCACATTCACTGTAAACAGCACCATGTAAATCAAGTGTACACTAACAATGAGTTTAGCAATCAAACTGAGTGTACTGAGAGCAGTAAAACTCAACAAACTACTGAATTCATAGGCATTATCACTGAACGTGAAAGTGTAACGTTAACTGTTTCTGAATTTAGTGTGCTCCCTATCTAGACGACATTGGGCATATTGGCCAGTGCAGCAGTTTTGGATAATATGTCATTAGGGCATCATGTCATTTGGACGTCTTGTAATTTGGGAATTATATCACCAAAATATTATCTAAATAGTCAGCTCATCAGGTTATGAGACACAACTTGTAATTCTTGATTTTATGATGATTAACCTGATTTAATAATTATGTTAATGAGTTTCTTATTGTTGTAAAGACAAATAAAGACAAAAAAAAAGAGATTGTAGACAAATCTTCTGCTTCAGTCATTATTCTAGGTATAATAAAATGAAATGTCAGAAATGTACTGACTGAGAAAGAGTCCCTCCATTGTTTAGAGTCGTCACATGCCATCTGTTCATTTTAAAGACTGAGATCATCCCAGTCTGGGAAACCTTAGAACCACCAAAAGGAAACCATCGGGGATTTACTTTCTAAAGCATCTGATCTCATTTTCTGAATGTGTTAATCTGATTATATGATTTTATTCTGGCTTTTGCTTGTTAGACAATACTGGGTGAAACCAGAGAAGATGATGATGATGATGAAATATTGCCAAGAAAAGACTATGAGGTCAGTGAATAATGGACATAAAGTAATTCTAAGACTTGAAACATACTTGATATTTTGTCTTTACCTGTGATGTCTGAACAATATGAATGCTGCATGTAATGTCTTCATTAATATTTTACATTTCAGAGTTTGGATTATGACCGATGCATAAATGAGCCATTCTTGGAGGTTTTAGAGGGGTTGGATAATAAGGTAAAATGTGTTATGTCATCATTTATCATATTCGATGATGTCAGGTCCTTGTTTACCAAGCTAATTATCTAATTTCTCTTACAGAAAGCCAGAAAGTATGAAGCGATAAAGTGGATTTTGGTCTTTGCAATTGGAGTATCAACAGGCCTGGTATGTTTCGGGGTGGTTTATGCATCTAAAATAATTTTGATCAATTGCAAAAGCTGTTTTTATACTGTCTTGATATTTCTACTATAGAGTTTGAAACTTATAGAGGATTGTAGATCCTGTGGGAGTAAAATATGCAATATAAAATTATAACTACAATATAAAATGAGAACTAATGTCTTTGTTGTGGTCAGTAGCCTAGTTGGTATAATATTTGACATTTCATCTCAGTACAGTTTCTATGGTTATAAAAAAATTGTGATTTTTCTCTTTTTTCAGACTGGCCTGTTTGTGGATTTCTTTGTGCGGCTCTTCACTCAGCTAAAGTTCAGCTTGGTTGGAAAATGTATCTTTTCTGCTCAATGCTGCTTTGTGTTTTGGCTTGTTACTTTGCCCCATTTGCTGATTGGAGTCCTTGACCTGTTGTTTAGCTGTGGAGGATTGCAGTGAGAATGGCTGTTTAGCTCTCTCATTACTGGAGCTGCTGGCTCTCAATATGATGTTCATATTCATCTCCAGTGTTCTGGTGCTCATTGAGGTAAGAACATCTGAATATACATTAAAGTTAGGGTAGGGAATTTCAGAGAGGCTAGCAATAGCAACCTAGCTTTGAAAGCATGAGATCCTACCCTCCCTTCACAGTGCTTTCCAAAGCCACGTCTCCATCAAAGCACATGAACACGCACAGCAGAGTCTACAAAGCATCCCGGCATGAAAGACTGCGTTAAATTACCCCTTAACTTGATAGTGTTGACATCAAGAAACGCATAAATCCGAGTCCGACAGCTCCGGGTAAATCGTCACAGGTTGCCATCTTGTAATTATTGTTATGACATGGCATGAACGCAGCATAAGCTCCTTGTTTTGGTTCAGGAGGAACTGTAAAAGGTGGCTGCTGTTTGTTTTTTGGCGCTCTGTGGCTGTCTGTCTGCAACTCTGCATAACATGAAACATGCTAATGATGTGTGATGTCTGAGCGAGTAGGGTGTGCGGAGTAATGAAAATACATGTGTTGACAGGCAGGTAGGACATTCAGAACCGAATTCGGACCTAATGCAATGATTGGACGAACATTTTTTGATCCTGAGACTTCCACAGAAGATATATATACATGTTTTAATATTTAGACCACTTCTATTATTGATTGCTATCAGGATGTGAACACACACACACACACACATATATATATATATATAATTTAGATATAAATTACATAAATATATATATCATTTATAGAAATTATAAAATCTTAATTGCATGCTATTCTTAAAAAAAAGCTAATTTAATAATTGTATAGTGTTTGTGTGTATAATGAATCTGTTTTTTTCCTGTATAAAGCCTGTTGCAGCTGGGTCTGGTATCCCAGAAATTAAAAGTTACCTTAACGGAGTAAAGATTCCAGGGATTGTGCGGCTGCGGACCTTCATTTGTAAAGTCACTGGTGTCCTGTTTGCTGTTGCTGGAGGTAATTATGAGAAAATTGCCTATATCAGCGGTACAAAGATTATAATAAAGCCTGGCTCTGTGCTCTATATGACTTAATGGTGATTGCCAATTAAAACTATTTTTGGTTAAAGGTGGGGTATGTGATTTTCTTTATTGACCATTTTTTCAATATCACTTGAAATCCTATTCCTAACCCACTTACAGCCACTGAGTTAGAAGCACTGAAATGAAAATTTAGCAATTTAATCATCTGTGGAACGGGCAGGACTCGGAAAAACTCCAGCCAATCATTTCCAAGACCGCCTAGAATCATTGTACAGTCAGTGCGTCAATCAAACGGTTGTACCATGCCCCCCTCCCCATCCCCCTCACGCGCGTGTCCCCTTCGTGCTCATACTCAAAGCTCGTGACCCAGTCACAGTAAGTGCAAGTCGCCCCGGTACAGAGAGAGAGAGAGTAAGTGCAATCTCGCGCATCTGAGTTTTGCAGATGCATGATTGCGCGTCCATGTTCTTTGAATGGGTGGAGTCAGGGCCAGCGTTGGAGGAAAGAAGGTAGGACCTTTTGAGTTTGTATTTTCAAAATCTGCCGGCCGTTTTGCAAATCCCATACCCTACCTTTAAGATTTTCAAGAAACATATGTGTAAACTGGCCTGATGATGGTAATATGTCAATAAATTACTTGATGTTTTCCAGAGCCTTGCAGACCAATGACAGTGGTAGGTCTTTTAAAAGTTGTTCCAGGCTGACTCAGTATTGTTTTTTGTTTCAGGGTTGTTTGTGGGTAAAGAGGGACCGATGATCCACAGTGGAGCGATAGTAGGGGCAGGACTTCCTCAGGTACTCCTCCATATGCTGATATTTCCAACGTGAGCTGAGTAATACACATATTGATTTCACTAATCTTTAACCTTTCTGCCATAGAAAGAAGTTAAGCTTGACAGTATGTCATACTGTCTTGTAGTATGAGGTTACGCACCCATGCACGGGAGTGGCAGGGTTAAAGCTTTTCTCCCAGATCAACAGTTACCTTTTCTTCTTATACCCTGAGCAAAGCATTGTTAAAGGGGTGGTTGATTATGATTTCACTTTTCTAACTTTAGTTAGTGTGTAATTTTGCTGTTTGAGCATAAACAACATCTGCAAAGTTACAACGCTCAAAGTTCAAAGCAAAGCCTATTTAAGCCTTTAAAACCACCTATTTGCTTTTAAAGAAATCGTTTTTTAAAGACTACTACTAACGGCTGGTAGGGACTACACGACATTCCTTCTGGGTTAGTGACATCACCAACCTTAAAATTACATAAACCCCGCCCCCGGGAACACGCCGTCCATGTTGAGAAGAGGAAGAGTTGTTGTAGTAGAGCACATTTGTGAGTCTGCTTAAGCTGTCGCATCCGTCTTTTCACATGCAATACAGTACGTAACACAAATGCAATAGCATGTCACTCTGTAGGCATCTTACAACAGTTCCCACACAAGCGTTTTTATAGATTATCATGACAGAATATGATAATTTGAGATAGTTAACTCCACATCAGCAACATAAATTCATCAACTAACCATTCGGAAATGTCCTGTTGCATTTTACATATAATCATGTCACTTCTTCTTGAGTCTCTCCATCATTGTTTGACTCTAGTTTAAACATAAAAGGCAGAACAGTTTCTGACATTTTAGTGCTTGTCTGTGTGAGGTAATCAGAGCTACACACACACACACACAAGCTCTTGAAGCTCCGCCCTCTGCAGCAGCTCATTTGCATTTATTACGAAACTACGTGTTTTTACTGACCCTCAAAAGGGGACAATTTTAACATGGTGTAAAAAATGATCTGTGGGATATTTTGAGCTAAAACTTCACATACACACATAGACTTATTTTACATATTGTAAAAAGGGGCATGTTTATACCACCTCTTTAAACATGAGTGGAATATCAACACCAAAACGTAGGTACCAAATAGTACTTTATTGTACATTAGGATACTTTAATATCTCTATTAAGTTCACCACCTTTCAGTTCAGTTTATAAGCTGTCAAATGAGATCAAACATAACATGGCATAGTTACATGTTAGAACACACTAGTAGATAAATAGTCTGTAGTGGAAAGCACATGTGTTTTGTGAAGCAAATGGTACAGATGTGTCATTGAGGTGCAATCGATTCTTGTCTCCCCAGAGACCATCCAGTGCCTGGAGTCTCTCAACAGTCCTCGATCCGCATATTGATGAATCCTTTGCATTAGATAAGCATTAGCATACTGTGATGATGAAGGCTATTGTGCCACGTATAATTCACATGTATACTTTTAAAGGGATTTCTGAAGTACTAGGGCAGCCGCAGTAAAGAGTTCTACCCATATTCGCTCACCCCTACAATACTTTAGATGGTTGATGATTTTGTGATCTGAATGTTACCTGGTAAGTAATTTATGCATCATCTTAACCGGCAACATTCAAAGTTAAATCTTTTGAACGCATGTTTGTATGTCTGCTTAGTTTCAGAGCATCACCTTCAAGAAGATTCGCTTTCACTTCCCATATTTCCGCAGTGACAGGTGATGTATCACACCACGCACTAAATAATTTATTACATAGTGCAAAATGAATGTAAAACAGCATTTACCTCCACTGGCTGCAACCCTTTACCTTTGTAATGTGGTATATTTCTATGTGAAAATGTGCAGTATAGAACATTTTATCCAGTGATAATTGACTGAAATGGAAAATGTATCGATGTTTAAAGCTAATTACAGAAATAGTTTTTTTGGTTAACATGATCCAATATCATGTGTAGCTTTTAAAAAAATAAACTTTTTGGTTACTCTTTACAATAAGGTTTCATTTGTTAACATGAAGTAAGAATGAGAATTATTATTGTATTAACTAATATTAACAATGTTAGCGCAGGTTAGTTAATACATTAACTAATGTTAATTAGGCCTTATTGTAAAGTGTTAGCCTTTTATCTTTAGAATATTACTGTTGTATGATATTATTTTATTATAATTAATAAATAATATTTTTTATAAATAATATATATATATTTTTTTTTTGCATCTTTAGAATGTGCTCAATAAGACTGACTGTGTATTAATAACTGGGATATCAAAAGTGCCCTCATTTTTTTATTTATGTTATGTTGTGTTAAGGGACAAAAGGGATTTTGTGTCAGCGGGTGCAGCAGCCGGAGTTGCGGCTGCCTTCGGGGCACCCATAGGGGGCACACTCTTTAGTCTGGAGGAGGGGTCATCCTTCTGGAACCAGGCTCTCACATGGAAAGTGGTATGTTGATGTTTGTTGGGTTTTGGTCATGTATTTTTGGTATGTGCTCAAAGTGCTACTTGACCTTAATCCATTATAATTCCCTGTCTCTGTCTCTCTTCTGTCTTTTAGTTGTTCTGCTCCATGTCTGCCACTTTTACACTCAACTTCTTTCGTTCTGGGATCAACTTCAATAAATGGGGATCATTCCAGCTCCCTGGCCTGCTCAACTTTGGAGAGTTCAAGGTGAAGAACTACAGAATGAAAACATTAAGTTCCCTTTATTATATGCATTTTTATTGTGTTGATGTAAGTCAGGTGATAATATGGTAGTAACATTTAAAAGAACCAAATCCTTTCCTGTCCTCTTTTACATTTAAATATTTATTTGGCCTATTACATTCTTAACCCTTCAGAATAAACGGTGAATTGCACTTAATGAGTCATTAGAGATTCAATTACTGTTGCGCAGAAAAACATATACTTACACTATGACATACCTCGGGTCACTAGCAGAAATCCTATACACTTTTCACAAACAAATTAATTTGCAAAAAGATATTCTTATATATTTTTATTATACTTTAAAAAGACCCGAGTTATGCATTTAAGAGTTATTGCCCATTCTTACTGTGAATAATTAATTAGTGCACAGTATTAAAAAATATATTTTTATAATATTTTATAAAATTGTAATGTCCTTTTCACCTGACGTCACCTGATGTTTAGTTTAAAAAAAGTTAGAAGCCAGAATGCTATTTGATTAAGCCTAATGTTATAGGTAATGCAGCTTTTTTTTTTTTTTAAGATAAATAATAGTTAATGCAATTATTTTAATATTAAGTCATAAATGCTAAGATGCTATTGAGGGTAAATTTGACCTTAAGCTTGCTGATTATTTGTGAATGCTGTTTCCTGTTGACTTAAAATGATCAATGAATCAATGAAAGCAAACTCAAGCAGGTTTGTGGTGTTGCCTTATTTGTTTTTCTTTGCTATCTTTAGTGCACAGATGGAGATAAGTCATGTCATTTGTGGACGGCAGTAGATTTGGCGTTTTTTGTATTAATGGGGGTGGCAGGAGGTCTGCTCGGCGCGCTGTTCAACTGCATCAACAAACGGCTGGCAAAATACCGGATGAGAAACGTTCATCCCAAAGCAAGATTCATCAGGTGACCGAGAGATATCTTACTTATTTGGATTTAGTATTGAATGAAACTTTAGAATTTAACTACCCAGATATAAAGAGAGTAGCTTTCTGAGTTGTACATATGACAATATTTTATATTTCTTTTATTGGCAGGGTGTTGGAGAGTCTATTGGTGTGTATGGTGACCACACTAGTGATCTTCATGGCTTCAGTGACTCTTGGGGAGTGCCGAGATTTAGTCTCCACCATAAATAACAACACATCAACACAGGTCAGACTGAGACCAGCTTCTTTTCTCTCTTATAACTTCACTATTTTTCTCTCTTATTATAACTACTCTATTTTTCTTAGCTTCTTTGGTCCCACTTTATATTAAATGGCTTTAACTACTTTGTAATAACATTTAAATTAATCATTTGACACAATGTTCTTACTGTGTACATACTAGAGCTGCACGATTAATCCTTAAATGATTGCAATCATGATTCATATACCCACACAATCTTTCTCCTAGTCAAGTCACCTTTATTTATATAGCGTTTTATACAATACAGATTGTTTCAAAGCAGCTTTACAGTGATCACAGGAAAATCATGCATTTCGTCTGTTGTTCAGCTGAACTCATTTCAGTGTTGATTCAGTTCTGTTGTAAAGATCATCAATTATTCAATTAGTTTATTTCATCTATAAAGCAGTTTTGCAAAAAATAAAATAAAGTCATCCAGCTCAGTTCATTTATCATACAACAGCGTCAGTACAGTCAGATCAATAATATTGTTGAATATTAAGTGTCCCTAACTAAGCAAGCCAGAGGCGACAGTGGCAAGGAACTCAAACTCCATCAGGTGACAGGATGGAGAAAAAAAAACCTTGGGAGAAACCAGGCTCAGTCGGGGTGTCAGTTCTCTTCTGGCCAACGAACGAACATGGTGGGATTATGATTCAAGCAGCATCATAAGTCAGAATTCAGATTGGGATCTGTAGCATTCAAATATGCTTTTAAAAAAAGTAACTTAACTTGGCACTTCAAATAACAATTGTATCGATTACATTGTTATGCCACCAGTTGTGGCTGTTAAGAAATGTATTCGTCATTAAATAATTCATTCAAGAGATTCGGTCAAAAACGCTGATTCATCCAGTAATGAAGCAAGTGAAGTCTTTATGAGTGAGTCATTGAATCATTCATTCAAACCACTTTTTTAAAATATGAATTCTAATCAATTAAACAGTTTTAAATAGACTGCAGCAATTTATATTTTGTCAGAACCTCTAGTAAATTGCATTATTTTATTTAGTTGTCTGTAATCGTGGGAGGGTCATGATCTCTTTTTGAAACAAAAAAAGGTGATTCTCAGTTTATCCAGAACTCTAGTACATGGATGTTTTTACATTGTACCAATATTTAAAAATACCTTTGTTGTAATTACATCTGTAATTAATTTCTGTGGTTACATCTACAATTACACTGTTGACCCTTCCATTACCCCTTAAGCCACCCTGAAACCTAATCATACCACCAAACCTGTCCTTAACCTTACCCATATCCCAACTCAGTAGCAGCACAAGTGTTTTGCAATACAAAATGAACAGTAAGTTATGATGAAAGTAATGATTACTTGCTGAGCTGAAATAACAGCAGCAAGATATTGAACTGTTGGTATACAACCTGGGGTGTGTTTCCCGCACAACGACATAACTCACTGCTTACCACCAAAGTATGATGCATCGTTGTAGAAACTAACTAGCTAGTCACGACTATTTCCCTAAAAATATTTTGCTTTATTTAATGTTTGATTTCCTTGTGCATTTACCCACATGCACACTCCTCAAAAACAGGGCTGATTGTTGACATGCTAAAATGTATGATTAAAATGTATATTTAAATGGGATGAAAGATATAGAATGTATTGAATGCCATCAGGTCACAGGTTCGCGTTTAAAGTCTGTTTAGAGAGAACGCCGTCGTCTTAGTGGCCCCTAATGTAATAAAAAATGATAATTTTGCTGGAAGTGAATCAATCAAAACCAACTTTAGCCGGAAATAACATTATTCAAAATCGCTATAAAGCCAAAACAATCTCTGTTACCGTAAATTGTATGTTTATCTCTGTAAAGCTGCTTTGAAACAATCTCCATTGTTAAAAGCGCTATATAAATGAAGATGACTTGACTTGACTTGACTTGACTTGAATGTTAGCTTGATGCTGTGCCCAATAGCATTTTCTATCTATATAGTCCACATGTCATTTTAACAGGAAACTCTGCTTCTAACCACAGCTCGATAGCTATAGTTCCAACCACGCACGTTTGCGATGCTGTTTGCGAATGTTCGATGGAACTATGGTTTCGGGAAACACCAAGTTGTTTAGCTTTGTTGGTAATGACAAGTTGCAACCATAGTTGGCTAACGATGATTTTGGGAAACACACCCCAGGTCCACACTTCAGTTTATTTTTATGAGATTATAACTTCTAATTTCTAAAAAGCTGTCCTTTTTCGTGTGCAGTATGAATCGGACTGTAGGTGAAGTTATGGTTTGTGTTTTGTAGGGTTCTGTAAATGAGGAGGTGAACTCAACCATACGACGATTCTTCTGCTACAACAACACATATAATGACATGGCGACTCTGTTCTTCAACCCTCAAGAGGTGGCAATCCATCAGCTCTTCCACCAGAATGGTAAGAAACGTATTTGCAGCAATGTACTGTGTTTAGGTTAGCATGGTTTGCTATTTTGAATGTACTACCCCAATTTACCCAAAATGTGATATATATGTCATTTACTCCACCTCAACCTGTTTTAGGACTGCACATTTGCATAAATAATCTTTTGGTCAATATTACGATTACTCAATGACTTATTAATAATCCACTACAGATCAAAAGTTTGGAATAATTATGATTTTTTTTTTTTTTATGTTTTTGAAAACTCTTTTGCTCACCAAGGATTAATTTATTTGGTAAAAAAAAAATACAGCACAAACAGTAATATTGTGAAATATTGTAAAAAAAAAAAATGTTTTAACATATTTTCAAATGTAATTTATTCCTTTGATGCCAAGCCATTACTCCAGTCTTCAATTTAATAAAGACCAATTTATTGATCAATTGAATGCCTCCTTGCTCAATAAAAGTAATAATATATTTATCTTTAATCCTATTTACCCCAAACTTTTGAGTTGTAATTTGAATTTGTTTCCTCCACCACGATGAGACTAGTGGAGGTGGAGACTAATCTGCATATTAGAATGATTTCTAAAGGATCATGTGACACTGAAGACTGGAGTAATGATGCTGAAAATTCAGCTTTGCCTCACAGGAATAAATTACATTTTTAAATGTATTCAAATATAAAAGTTATTTTAAATTGTCAAAACATTTCATATATTACTGTTTTTGCTGTATTTTGGATCAAATAAATGCAGCCTTGGTTAGCAGAAGAGACTTAACGATCTAAAACCTTTCAACGGTAGTGAATATTTCAAATAAATTATATTAAAATAAATGAGACCAAAATAATTAACTGTAGTGCACTTCCACACCTACTAAAAACTACTAAACATTTAGCGAGGGTGAAATCACACTGCTGTAAAGTAAAAAAAAAAAAAATGATTAGAGCCTCATTGTGAAACGGAATGTGGCACAATAAAAGTTTTATCTTGATTTCATAATTGTTATAATCCAAATTTTCATTAAACATCCAACCCTCACCTCTTTGATATTGTAATCCGTAGAAATCAAGTTGAAGTTTCCTGAGATGTATAAATGACTATACAACTCTATTTTCTAACCCTCTCTGTCTTTCTTTCTCACTTGTTCTGGCTTTGTTCACAGCTACCTTCAGTCCGGTCACCCTCTCGCTTTTCTTCGTGCTGTATTTTTTTCTGAGCTGTTGGACATATGGTGTGTCCATCCCCAGTGGTCTGTTTGTCGCATCTCTTCTCTGTGGAGCTTCACTTGGACGCCTGGTGGCCAATGTCCTCAAAATGTAAGATTTATTTCTGTTTATAGTGTCCTAAGAACTACCAAGGTCACCCTTTTGGAACAGGACACATGTATTTAACGCATCTTATTCATCATCATCTTTTTGCATAAATGTAAAATTTTGTTTTACTGTGTAATTGCAGTAACTTCCATATGCAAATCTATTCGGGGACCTTTGCCTTGATTGGAGCAGCTGCCTTCCTAGGAGGCGTGGTTAGAATGACCATCAGCCTGACAGTAATCTTAATTGAATCGACCAATGAGATCACCTACGGACTTCCCATTATGATTACACTGATGGTAGGAAAACAAAAATCAGAATTTGGTGGGGTTTTTTTGTCTTATAGGAAATCATCATCCAGGAAATTTGTGTGATGATAAATACTATTATTTGGACAGTTTGTGTGACTTTTCAACTATCAGACTACACCCTTAATAAATGTCTTCCCAGTATATCAGAATTAAAATGTAATATGGTAAAAAAAAAAAAAAGAATCTACATAACTAACTACCATTGTTTTTGTCAGGTGGCCAAATGGACAGGAGATTTCTTTAATAAGGGAATATATGATATTCACATTCACCTGAAAGGAGTCCCGCTGCTGGAGTGGGAAACAGAAGTCGAGATGGACAAGTGAGACCTTTGTATTACACGTGTCACAGTGGCTTTTTATTATTGAGGATCACAGAGGTTCCAAGAATTTGAACTTTTAAGACACACTTAAAAATCTCTGCATTTCATAACATTATTTGTCAAATAATCCAAGTTCTAGGAAAAATATGCTATTTTGTAATGCAATGATGTTCGTACATGATGTGTCTAAATGCCTTTGGGGCCACTTCATTCATTCATTGCACTCATTAAATGCTTAAAATCCTTATCTCATCTCTTAAAATTAATTCATTCAGTCATTGCTTAAAATCTTAAGTTAGGGTGTTCTTGTGGTTATGAGGTTGAGTTCATGTAAAAAAAAAGAAGAAAAAAAAGTCTAATCACTAAGAAAAGTAAAATCTTAAGTTTATCTCTTAAAAAATATTAATTCATTCACTGCTTAAAATCCTTATCTTATCTCTTAAAATTCATTAATTAATTCAGTTATTCATTCAAATCTTTAGTTTATCTCTTTCATTCATTCATTCTTTGCTTAAAATCCTTGGTTGGTTCGTTCATTCATTCAAATACTACGTTTATTTCTCAAACGTCGTTTAAATCCTTAGTTCGTATGAATTAATATGTCCCTTCATAATTTGTCTTGTACAAATTTGTCTTGTTTGTTTTTAATTGATCCCCATCTCCCTGTTAGATTGACAGCCAGTGACATCATGGAGCCCAACCTGACATACGTGTATCCTCACACCCGTATTCAGTCTCTGGTCAGCATCCTGAGGACCACAGTCTATCACGCCTTCCCCGTCGTCACCGAGAACAGAGATAACGAGAAGGAGTTTATGAAGGGAAATATCCTCATAAGCAACAATATCAAATTCAAGGTACATCACACCATTTGTACCAGTATTTATCTTTATCCACAGTGTTTTGACCACAAGATGGTGCAAATGGTCTACTGGTTTTACGTCTCGCTCAGTAACACACAAATTAGCTTTATTTGATAGAGTTGAAGTGACTTTTTGCCTGCCGGATGATAAAATAGACTATATTGAAGGAAGGACCTGAACCATAATTAGGGATCGAATTATTACAGAGACTAGGGGGTGTTTTTTTGTGTTTTTTTTTACTTTAACTGATACAGTTTTTCTCAGATGCTTTGGCACATTTCTTAAATCATCCTTAGCATTTGCAAACCAGTAAGTGCATTTCTCGAAACTATTCATACAAACCACACAACACAATGCTAAAATCCTTGGTTCATCTCTCAAAAGTAAATATTTTCTTTGCAAAATATACAAATATAAAGTTCTTTGCAATAAGTGCAAATAGTTGTTAGATGCTATTAACTTATAAATAGTGGCAGATACTATTTGAACCTCAGTATTGTTGTACATTAACAGGATGCAGTAATAACATATTTATTAAATTAAATTACTATATTTATTAAAATTATTAAATTGATGCCGCAAACAATGCTTAGCCATGTTGTCGATATAACCGTGTACTCAGTCAGTATTTCCTGATGTAAACTATGCCTACGGTTTTGATGACAATGACTGAAAATCCACAAGGATGCATTATGTATAGCATAGCATATATCAATTTCAATGGTACAAAATGTACACATTAATGTATGTGGAATATTGATTGCAAGAAATTGGACAGGTTTTTCAACAAATTACAGTACAATGTCATTGTGATACAAAAGAAAAGAAAAAAGACAACCATTTTACAGTACATCTTTATTCATTAATTCATCATCACTTATATGGTTAAAATTTACTGACAAGCATTTATGGTAAAATAAGATACACTTTAATGTAATTTCTATTGAAACACATGTCATTAGACAACTATTTCACAGAACACTATTTTCACGTGACTGAGGAAACTCTGCTTTGACTCGGAGCATGACTTCATTATGAAACTAATCAATGCTATTGTGTACTATTCATTATTGTTGTTATTACTAGGAACTGGATAATATTCTGATTGTTCCAATCCAATCTGACTTCTGACCTATAATGCTGGCTGAATCATAATCATACACTGTTCGGTCATTGGCCCCCTGACTGAGCCTGGTTTCTCCCAAGGTTTTTTTCTCCATTTTGTCATCTGATGGAGTTTTGGTTCCTTGCCACTGTTGCCTTTTCACCTTTTTTTCACCTTTGTTGCTATTGTCTTTTGGATTGCTTAGTTGGAGACATTAAATTGAACATTTCATTTAATTTTCAACAATATTATTGATCTGCCTGCATTGACACCATTATATGAGAACTGAACTGAGCTGGACGATGACATCAGCGGCAATATATATAAATGAACTAAATTAATAACTTTTTTACATCAAAAATGAAACATCACTGAATTTACTTAAGCTGGACTGTGACGCTTTTTTCTTCTGGAAACAAATTTTGTTGCATATTTTCCTGTTACCTCTGTAAAGCTGCTTTGAAACAACCAGTATTGTAAAAAGTGCTATATAAATAAATGTGACTTGACTACTATATGTAATTCTAAAAAAAAATTTTTTTATAATCTTTCATTAATATATTTTAACTTTATCCACATCTAAAATATGTATCCACTCAAAATCTAACTTAAATCCGATGGGTAGATCAAGCCCTACAATATATATCATCATTTGTTTTAAAATAAAATAAAAAGTTGTGTAAAAATGTATTAGCAATAAGCATGATGATTAACATGAACCAAAATTAATAAATGCTGTATTGTTAATTTATGATTACTAATTAATTTTGTTTCTATGTCCAAAAAACAAAACCCTGTTTACTCTTGTTGTTTCTGCTCCTTCAGAAAACCAGTGTGTTGACGCGTGCGGGGGAGCAGAGACGGAGGTGTCAGTCGATGAAATCATACCCGTCGAGTGAGCTACGCAATGTGTGTGATGAGCAGGTTGTTGTGGAGCCGGCGGAGGAAGGGCAGGACATGCTTCAGCAGATGCTGGAGAGGAGGTCAGTAGGATGAACTTTGACCTTTTACCTCCAGAACTATTATCACCCTGTTCCAATTGAAAAGCATCTTATATTATGAGAACATTGAGCATTGAGACAAGATGAATTCATATAACAGTACTTTGCATGCATATATTGTCACAGAAATATTTAAACACTGCATATTCTCCACTTTTGAGCATTTATAGCTCCCAGAAGTCCTCTTATAACTTTTTTCTTACACCAAAAACAGGCATTTGGTGACATTAAAGGTGAACTAAGTAACTTTTTTACTGCTTTGGAGTCATTGTAATTACTTTATATTACTGATTTCGTGTTGAATGGTGGTCGTCTCGCACCCCCCTGGTGCCTGTGAGCCGCAAAACCACCCTTGCAACTTTGGGCCGGCGAGCCGCCGGCCTCAGTGTTAGGAAGTATCGTGTGATATCAGGTCTCGCGAGGTAACGAATTGCTTTATGGCAAAAAACAGATCTGATAAAATTCTGATAAAATGAGCATCAAACAGAAATAACCCGGCGCCGTATACATGTGGTGTCCGAGGCGCACATACAATATAGATTGCCGACAGTTAAACAGGGCGTGCGCAGCTCTTAAAGGGGCCATACCTTATTTCCACTCGTTACAGCGTCCATCCTACTGAACAGGTACCGGTGTACACAAGGGGGTAATCCATCGACCGGAAGTTGAAGCCGGCTGGGTGCCGCCATCTTGTAGCAGAACTTCACTTGCGTTAGCATTTCCATTGACTCCCATTCATGTTGGCGTCACTTTGACAGCGAATAACTTTACATCTGAGGCGTTTAAAGACTCCATTTGTCCATTATTTATTTCTAAAGAAACATGACAATGTATAAAGGGCTCCATTACCTTCTATGTTACATTATGGCCCCGTAGAAACAGTTTTTGTAAAAATAGGCTAACGATTGCGTCATAACCACTCGACTCTCTGTCGCGCTGTACAGAAATTACCGTACAGACAGGAGGAGAAGCTCGCAGGCAATCGGGGGGACGTCCCGTCAAGGGAGAAGCCCGTAGATAATGAGTCCATAAAAGCAACAGAATACTTACTCCTGCTCACTCACGCCAAAGAACTCTTTGCTCAAGTTCCCCGTCTCTGCAAGATTAACGTTGGCAATTTTCACGCACAGCTACTAGAAGATTTACGTCTGTCAGACAGCTTGCTCACGTCATCAAGCTTAGTTTGAGTCGGTTTGAGTCTGCGCTTCAGGAACGGAAGTGCTCAAAAATCGCTAAAAATGGGCTTCAACTGTCTCAACTGAGTTCCAATGAGATGGCTCTGTCCACTTCTTATACTGTCTATGGGTGTACAGGGGGAGGGGATCCGGCCATGAGTGCAAGCCATCTCTGCATAAGTGCTGTTCATGACAGTACAAGTACTCCACAGCGACTCTAGGGGTCGCTGTTTGACAAAAACGGAATTCCTACTTAGTGCTGCTTTAACACTTCCATCCTCTCTTTTACTCTTAGATTTTAACAGTTTTTTTTGCTCTTGTACTTTTAAATCCTCTATATGTAATCCAGGGCAGACCAGTTAAATATTGAATAATATTGAAAATATAAGAGATCATATACTAATATGCTGATATTTTTCAATGAATGGTTTTGCTGTTTATTTTTAATAAATGATGTCGGTGTACTGGGGAGGAGCTGTGACAGTATTGTGCCTTTTATTTAAAAAGAGCAAAGGAAATCTATTTTCCCACGTGAGCCCTTAACACGAGACCGCTGTGTGGTGTTGATGTTGGCAGGCATGTGCCGTACCCAAACCTTTACCCGGACCAGTCTCCCAGTGAGGAGTGGACCATGGAGGAGAGGTTCCGCCCGCTCACCTTTCACGGGCTCATCCTGCGTTCACAGCTCGTCAACTTGCTGATCCGCGGAGTCTGCTATGCTGAAAACCAGTCGGTCAGTGTCATTCAATTGCCTCCTCTTGTTTCCCTTCTCCTTGATTCTTCGCTCTTCTTCTCTTCCTGTCTCATCACCTTTTCTCTTGCCTTCATTGTCCACCTCGATTTTCTGCATATTACTCTCATCATTCTTTGAGGCGGTCAAATCATCCCTGTAGTCCCCTTATGTGTATGCCTTATAATTACTTGAAAGTGCACATTAAAATTCAATTATAAGTTATGGAATTTATTAATAATTGTTCCTGTTTTTTTAATAATATTTTATTAAAACTTTATAGCTTTCTCCACCATTTGGCTAATCAAGGCAGCATGATCAGGGAAGAATATTATTATTAACCACTCTCATTAAAGGGGTCTTGTGTTTTTTTTTTTTTTTACATTTTCAACTTTTTCTTAGTGTGTGTAATGTTGCTGTTTGAGCATTAAAAAGGTCTGCAAAGTTAGAAAGCACAAATCCAATCCAAAGGGAGTTATTCTCTATATCAATAAGCACAGTTTCTGAACTCCCTGAAATGGCTCCATTGTAGTCTTGAGGTTTCTTCTGGGAACAAAAACATCACAATGTTCCTCATTTAAAGGGGTCCTATAATGCTCTTTTACAATGTTTTATGATGTTGTTTTTGGTGTGTACTTGCATATGCTTTCATTCTTGGTTGTTCAAAAAGCACATTATTTTTCACATATTTTACATTATTATAGCTCCTCTCTCCCTAGTCTGGCTCGAACGTGCCGTATATTTCCGGTTTAGATGAAGCCCCTCCTTCCTAAATACGAAATGTGCTGTTATTGGTTAGCTGGCCCAGTGTGTTGTGATCGGGGTTAACAGTGTTTAAAATGTATCCACTCAGCCTTAACCAAGTTGGTCAGCCTTAGGAAACAGGGTGGAAAAAACAGCATCTCTTTAACATAGCGACAGCACTGTCTTCAATAATGGAGCTCAACCAGGCCTCGTCCCCCCTTTTTTGTGTATTCAGAGGGCGGAGATTGTTTAAACATTTGACTTAAAGGAGAACTCCGGCGCAAAATGAACATTTGGTCTAATTACACATTGTTACCTAGTCAACCGTTATCTGAGATTTGTTTTCATGATTATCGAATGTAAATAGTTTTATCTCTACAAACAGTTTAGCCTATAAAGCTAGTATAACGCTAGTATATTGGGCATAGTGTAATGACAAATAAAAATCGCTTGTTAATACCACTAACAAGGCTCAAAATAGCCCCACACTAATACGGTAGCATAATGAGGGTCCCTACCTTCAAACCGAAGCATTGAGAACTTTGTCAGTGTCCAGACAGTTTAATAAGAAGATATTTTAAACATACAGTCAACTTCGCATATACAGGCAGGAGCCATCTTTGAAATACAGCCTTTACCAGTCGATCTACCAAGCCCCGCTCACCTTACTTTAATTTGCCCTTGTTTAACTTGTTCATAGCACTACACGAATCAACCAGATACATGTCAACCAACCTATCTCTCTCTCTTCCTCCACTCTGTAGAGCGCCTCACAGCCACGGCTCTCTCATTCAGAGATGACTGAGGACTACCCACGATTCCCTGACATCCACGATCTCGACCTGGCCCTTCTCAATCCACGCATGATTGTGGCAAGTCCTCTGACCTATAAAACTCATCAGGGAATGCTGTGACTCTCCATAAACTGCTGTATATCAGTTATACATGATGTGTGTTGGTGTGCATAATGACTATTAATTGGTGTTAATTGGAAACGTTGAAGAGCTCTTGTTGTAAAGTGAGCCATGCAGTGATGACAGTTTGTTCAGTGGTCTCTCTCAGACATAATTAGCCTAATTTTGTTTTTCTTTGTTCGTTTTTTTTGCAGGATGTGACTCCTTACATGAACCCCTGTCCGAATACAGTCTCTCCAAATACACGCGTCTCCCAAGTATTCAATCTGTTCAGGACCATGGGGCTTCGACACTTACCTGTAGTCAATGCCGTGGGAGAGGTACGTCGTAGACTGAGGGGATGTTTGCACTACACTGTTTTCAACTAAACCTCTTTATGTGTTTTGACCGTTCATTTACACAACAATGGAGTTTTGGGGGCCTGAATATGCGAACTTTTAAAGACAGGTTTCAAAGTGCAAGTTTTTGAAAACGATACCATTATCGCCTCCATGTAAACTGTGAAAACGGTGACGTCATACGCATGCGTATTGTGTGTTCCGTCTACAGCGTAGTGCTTCTTTACAAAGTGACTTCGCCAACTACTGGCCTGGAATGCATAACGCAGCGTTTTTAGTCATTTTCGCGGACCCGTGTGAACAGGGATCGTTTTCAGAAAGGCAAAAGAAAAACGTTTCCGTTTTTAGTTGTTGTGTAAACACCTTTAATAAGCACAAACATCTAAACACGTCGTTGGAAACAAAGTGGCAAATAAATATAGAAGAAACCACCTGTGTCTTCGGGGTCCTTCGGCCCAAATGGACCCGAAGCATTTAAATATATATATTTTTTAAATCATAGCTTTATCGGAATGGTCCGAAATTTAGTGACTTTGTTGGTACTAGGTATATGAACACCCAAAAAAATTGGGGACAGGATTTGAATAGTCTAAGTGGTTATAAAAAAATAGTCACACTCAGGACCTTCGGGTCCAAATGGACCCGCATAGGAAATTAATGGGAAATTGGCAAAAATGTGAAAATACAGAGTTTTTTTGTGCATACCATCTACAAATCAGCCACGATCCATAAAAAAAGCACACAACAGTGAAGGGGTGAATCTATAAAACATCAAGAGTGCAAAACAGACACATCCACACACACACAAACACACTTTTATACACATACACACTAATAAATTCAGATTACATATAGGTTTTGAATTTTTAAAATGCTAAATTTGTCCACCAGATGGCATCCATCTCATTTCAAAAATTGCTTTCATGAGGCCTAGGCTTGACTCTAAAATGAAATACAGCTTTAAAAAAAAAAAAAAAAAAATTTATATTATATTCAATGGGGAAAAAATGGGTCATAATTATTGCATTAATATTAATTATAAATCATTTTAATTTTTGAAATTATCTCAAAAAAACAAAAAAGAAAAGAAAAAATATTATAAAAACAAGTAAAAAAAAAAAGATGATTTTTTGTTTATAAATATTAATCCCACCCGTCCGGCCCATTTGGACCCGAAGGTCCTGAGTGTGTCTCTGAAATGAAGGACCCCAGAGGGTTAATTTGAACTTAAAGGGGTCATATGATGTGATTTCTTGTTTTCCTTTTTCTTTAGTGTGTTATGTAGCTGTTTGTGCATGTATTAGATCTGCAGAGTTACAAAGCTCAAAGTCTCAAACCTAAAGAGATATTCTTTGTAAAAGTTAGGGCTCAGCCACGCTTCGTTCTCACAGGCCCTCACAAATCTACGTCAGTGTGTGTGGGCAGAGTTTCATAATACCGGCCAAATGTATACGCAAAGAAAGAAGGCGTGACTTGTATTCTCACTGTACTATTGTTGCCGCCATGTCGTGGAGACGATGTGGTTTTTGTTGCGAAAGCCAAGCTACTTTGTCTGGCCTTCCAAAAGAGGACACAATTAGAAAACAGTGGTTAAGCTTTATTTACAACACAGAACAGTACAACCGAAATATTCGTCTGTGTGCTGCGCATTTTTCAGAGGACTGTTTCCAGAACCTGGGAGAGTACAAGGCCGGCTGTGCACAAAGGCTGATTCTAGAAAGTGGGGCAATTCTATCTTTGCATTCTGGCACTTATGACTCACAGACACAGTAGCAAATTCTTAAAATATGAAAACATACTTACAGGCTCAACATTCAAACACGAGATTTGAGCAGTAGAGAGTACCGCTTGTTTGTCATTTCTACGATCACAAATGCAGACATGGTTTTTATGTTTACATGGTGTGTGTCCCCCAACCCACCCCCCCGGTAACAGTAATTCGGCGCAAAGCTTAAAAAGACAGTATAAGTCATTATAATCAGTAATTATCCCCCCAATGAAATAGAACCTTACCAATCTGATAAGTTCTGGTCCAGTCGCGCTGGCAAAGTTGATCGATCAGCTTGGTCATCTGCATCAGATTCGGGCTCGAATTGATAAGGTAGTACCGACATTATCACCTGTCATTATTGCTTTGGGAGCTGATGTTCCAAATATGGTAAGGGGCGTGACGTTTCCGTCACACGCTTCAGGTTTTCAGGCCAATCACAATGCACTGAATTGCCAATCAGAGCACACCGCGCTTTTCAGAATGATGAGCTTTGTAAAAATCAACGCGTTTCAGAAAGGTGGGGCATAGAGGAGCAACAATAATGTAGGGTATGTGTAAAATAGTGACTTTTTGTAACTTAAAACCGCATTAAACCAAATACACAAAATAATGTTCTTTTTAGAACCATCAAATGACCCTTTTAAAGGAATAATTCACCAAAAAATTAAAATTCTATCATCACTTACTGGCCTTTATGGTGTCGTGTGGAACACGAGGTGAAATTTTGTACAATGTTCATGCTGCTTTTTTCCCATTCAGTGAAAGTATATAGTGACCAGGGGCTCTAAAGCTCCAAAATGAACAAAAAAAGCAAAATGACAACAGAATTTACATTTTTTTTCTCAGAATATATTTTCTTGGATGAAGCTTAGTAAACTGTGCAAGAATGGTTTCATACATTTGTGTTTTGCTGTTTGTGTCTCTTGCAGATTGTGGGAATAATCACCAGACATAATCTTACCCATGAGTTTTTAGTTGCTAAACTTCGACAGCATTACATCACAATCTAAGACTCCTCTGGCGCCGTCTGTGATCAATCAGCCATACTCGAGTAGTGGCTCGCTTGAGATGAGACGAGATGAGCCGAACGCTCCAGGGACCTGAGACCAGATCGCCTCCGGACCTGAACCTCTGCTTCAGGTCGACCCTTAAGCCATTCCTAGAGTTCGGTATCTGACCCGTCCAGGCACAAACACACACAAACACGCACTAATGCAGGTGAGATACCATTAATCAACACATTTCAGGAAAGCATCCTGATTTCCTCATACTGACGATGTTCTCTGCCCGTGCTTTACCAACCTCACTGTAGCACTTTTAATTTAGTCTCTTTAAGTTCTGAATGTTTTAAATTGTGCCGACCATTTCTGTGTATTTATGAATGTTTGCTTTTGCACAAAGGGTGAGATAAACCACTGACCACAGTCCCTGGTCGAAATCTTTTAACTTATAGGGTAAATATTATGAAACCAAGAACAGGTCTGTGTCATTATTCACCCCAGAATCAAAAGAAAGATTTGTGTGTGTATAAAGACATTTCTTTTAGACCATTAGATTTTTTTTTTTTTGCATTATGGCATTATGATAATGAAGCACATTTCCCCCAAATGAAAAATGATTCTCGTTACTGTTCTGTTAAAGTAATATTTCAATTATATTGCCATCATTTATTCTGATTTCGATCAAATTATTGTATTAGAATAATACAGAGATTTGTTTTAAAATTCACTGTATTTGTTAATGTAAAGAGAGTCATCAAAATATAAATAATTGGAATTGCTTAATTCATATATGGCACATATATTGTTAAACACATTGTTAAATAAGGCTTAATTTACTCTATAAACAAATGAACTTTTTCCTTTTCTTTGATTTTGGGTGCAATTTGACATATTTTCATGAGACCTTTGTCATTTTTGGCGTTTATAACAAGTGGAAAATTGTAATTGTGGCATTAACAATATTTTTACTGTTATTAGCGCATCTTCAAATAATCATTATGCCCATTCCATTGAAATTTCCTGACATTCTTGATGTTTTTTTTTTGTCAGGGAAGAAAGTGCTCAGGGTGTGTTTGTATTAATGAACCAATCAAACCACCATCAAGGCACTAAATTACAGGGATTTATGTATTTATGTAATATTCTTGTTTTTGTAATCTGACATCCACTGTAATGTACAGTCATGATATCAGTATCATAATGCGACTGTGGTTTGATTTCAAGGGACTTATAAGAGCAGACTAAATAGTATTAGAAGAAATGATGGCACATTTGTATACTACACATTCCTTCTCTTTTTTTTTCTTTGATTTATTTAAGAGGAATTCCACTGTGGAGATTTATCACATACAGTTTATGCTGCAAATAATGTTTTAAATTATGCTTTAAAATGTCATTTATCTATTGCAGTTTTTTATTGTGAGGTGAAACCATCACAGTTTTATTTGATGTGTCTTTTCAGAAGTATGTTTTATAACCATACAGATTATTTGTTGACTAAATATGTGCTGCAGGTATAAACAGTTGACTGAACACCATCCGTCTGTTATAAGAGCTTCATAAAGTGACATGCAAATGTTATGTGAAAATCATCTGTAATCTCAATACTCCATTCTAGTGTCATGTATTCTATCATTATGGTTTTTCAGGTGAATGATACAATGCAGTATAGTCAAAATAAAATTCTCTTGTAAGCTTGCTTGGTAGAATGAGTTCAGTTTTTGGTCAGAATTTCTACAGCATTCCTAATAGGATTTCTAAAACTGTTCTTATAGCATAAAATGGTTAAGTTAGAAGAACTGTATAAAACGTGCCAATCAGCTTTCATAACCAGATGCTGGTCATTGTCTTAAAAAATCAATTATTACAGTATATGAATCAGAGTATAGTTTCACACATAATGGTGGACCTCACACAGCTATAACACAACCTTATATGCTTTTTGTATGTGTGTGCAATTAAAGGAAGTTCTTGTACAAAGAGTTTTCAAAAATAGGCCCTGATAAACGTCACCATGAAATCAAAATTGACAGGTTTCTTCAAGCGTCTTGGAGATGTTGCCACACTTCTGGATTTCGTCGGTCTCATTTTTTTTCTGTTTCTTCATGTAATCATAGAAGGACTCAGTGATGGTGAGATCAGATCTCTGTGTGGATCATACACTCTTGTCACACTCCTTGTGCATACTAAAATCGCACTAGATTTTTACAATTAATGGCAATAGGAATGTTTGGAAATGTAAACTGATACTTCCTTCTGACACACTACAGCAAAAGATATAAATAACTGGCTTAAAACCATTTTTTTGGTGTGCAAATACTAATGTGCCAAAGACTTTTGCACAGTACTTTTAAATGGTAGTGTATTTGTATATGCCGTTCTAGATGTAAGCCATATACACACACGTGTGTGTGTGTGTGTATATATATATATATATATATATAATACACTATGTATTTGTACACAAATGTACAAATACACTACCATTTAAAAGTTCTTGGTCGTTAAGATTTATTTCTCACCAAGGCTGCATTTATTTAATCAAAATACAGTAAAAACAGCAATAATGTTTATATATATATATATATATATATATATATATAACTTTTCCATTTTTATATATTTTCAATTGATCACTAATGCAACACTGTCACATTCTGGAGGATGATGGCATTAAGGAAATTACTTTTAGTGAAATGAATAATACTATAAAAGTGATATTGAGGAGTGACAAAGGCAAAAGTTGACGCTAAATTGACTATTAGTAAAAAAGTATGCATATTTTCTTTGAAATATATTTACATTAGAGGGAGATAGAAATGAAGAAACGCATGGACTGGACATGGCAACATCTGCTCAAAGCAATGTAGTGAAATTATTTAAAATGCACTTAATTGTGATATAGCAATAAATCGCATGATTTCCATCTATGTACATTGTGAGTTTTATGTACTATCCAGTATTAAGACGTGTATGACGAGTACATGAAAAAGCACTTTCTAGCAGGAATGAGCAGTTTGACATGAATAAAGAGTCCCTGCACCTGCTTTTCAGTCAGTCATATTCACAGTCCAGCTCAGTGGCGGATTCATTAAGTTCTTCACGGCCGAGTGTGTGGAGTTAAACACACTCTGACACATGCATCAAACCTCCTAATTTAGGCTGATGTGTCGGACATGGACTATTTCAGCAAAGATACGATTTCCACCAAGGAAACAAGGCTCATAAAATGTTGAGAGCTAATTGTGGCTTTCCTCAATGGCAAATTAGGACGTTGTCATTGTGCTTTCATTCCAGTTCACAGCCTTTTGTACTAAGAAACACGAGTTCACACTTACATACAATTAAAAGGAATAAAGTATAATGCGTATTTGGCGTGCTGTCCGAGGGGAGGGCTCCGAGCTCGGAATTCGGCCCGAACCCAGAGTACACCCCCCTGTATGTAAAGTGGTTAAGGACTAGAAGAGTGGAGAAGGACGGACGCTGCTAAACTGTCAGAGAAATGAGGTGAGACTGCTGAGTCTATATACACGTTTTAATCATGATTGCTGAGTGCTCTCCACCCGTGTTAATTATCTGAACGTGCTTAATAAAACATCAATTTATAAGGGAGGCAACATGTTCGTGGAATTTTCAATTCTTTTACAGGTTTCCAATCTTTCACAAAGATGTTTTTTGATATGTCACTAACACAGACTTTTAATAAGCCTATTATATGTTTAAAACTATATGATGATCTCAAAAGCTGCCCTGCATTTGTGGCATCATTTCCATCAACAATTTTACCACAACCTTTTTCAAAAGTTTGTGTACTTTTTACCAAAGTGCCAAGATTGTCAGTGAACATGCTTGAAATTAAATATAAAGTGCGATTTGTGAGGAAGGCAATTTTTGTCAAATTATGTAAAAGGAGTGAAAATTAGCTATATGCAGATAAAGTAAATAAGAGTAGCTAATACATAATTTGCTACTGACTAAAATCTCAATTAAACCTAACCTTATTATTATTATTATTTGCAAGATATAAAATTCTAGCCATGACATTTTATTCCCAAAAGAATCATATTGTCATTTCCATCACTGTCATTAACATAATTGATATATATATACAGAATTCTCTCATGCTGAATCTGTGATTATTATAGATCAGTATCCACTGACATTGTTAGTGGACACATGCAATAAACTAGTGAAGTGTGAAAAGTGTGTTTACATTTTATAAAAGTCAACAGATCCAAAAGTGCCCATAAGCTGAAGACACTACAGCATATGGTGGAATTGAGTCACTTTTTGACAGTCATCTCAATGTACCTGAATTGACCATATACATACTCATGTCAATCCCTTCATTCCTTTTCAGGTCAGTGGGTAAAAAATCCTATCCTGACAGAGGTCCACCCATTACAAGCACAAGAAAGTATAAAAATGATTGTCCATCAGTGGGTGTAAAACCCTGTCCTGACAGCTCTACCCAGTGAGTGTATATGAAAGTATAAAAATGATTGTCCGCTGCCTGGAGGACATTTTGCCTGTGGTCATGCATCCATATCTGCCACTTTATCTCCGTGTAGTGGATTAACCCGCTGGCTAACACCAATCCTCACCTTCAGGAATGACATGAGATTTCCAAGAGGAGCGCTCGTCTAATTGGAGGATATGAAGGTCTGGACTCGCTCGTTCTCTTGTCATTGCTATCTAACTGTATTCACACTAGACCAGAGAAATCAGGCTCTGACAGTCTGTTAGCAGGCCTGTGTGACGCACTCACGGAGGAGATCTGAAGTTTCTAATGAGAGCCGTCCACTGCTGAAATGGAGGCATTATTCATGCAATCAGCAGAGACCCCGGCGAGCTTGTGTAATAGGATTAAAGCTGACATGGCTGTAGTTTTTAAGGCTTAGGGCAGGTGTTGATAAGCTCAGGAGTAATAACCACCTGCAGCTGTTCCACTCATTAAAGTGAGTCCTGTAATGAGTCCGATAATGGCCATTAGAAGAGATGGTGTGGGTGTTTGAATGAGGGAAAGGGGTTGATTGATGGCGAGCTTCTCTGTTTCTATGTTAGCCATCGAGTTTGTTTGCTTCAACTGTTAAAGAAATACTAGAGTTGAAATGTTTTTAAACAAGGATTTTATTAGCATTCAATTACTACACCTCAAAAACCTTACAACCTGGGATCTAAACATCCCGTTCTTGAAACAGAAACGACATTTTATTTCCAAGTACAGTTTCAGCTGTAGAAATGCGTGACACACAAAAAAGAATAAACAGAAGTGCTACTTGGATAAAGCCAGCAGGGATATTAAAACACCAGTAGGAGTATTCAAATCTCATAAACCTCATAAATGAATGCAGAATGAGTAAAGCATTAATAACGCACATAATTATACCATTTACTTTATGTATTTCAACACTCCGATTAGCGCTCATCTACTTGTACATAATAAATATATCAACCACCAGATAATATAAAGCAGATGTCATAACGGGGATTGCAAAATATGGAAGGGTGTTTGCAACAAAGTCTTGTTGGTTTCATTTCCACATTTTACATTCGTTTTCATGTTTAAATATCTCACACAGTGTCAGTTTAACATACACTTTGCTTTCATTTTTCCACTCCTACAAATTACATTTCCATGTTAACCATAATTACTACTCATGCCGTTTTTATGAGCTCAGAAACATTGGGGCAATGCAGAAAAGGTCAGATACATTGGGCAATGTAATGTCATTTTCCGTTTTAATTTTCCACAGGTGTTTTACATGGTTAAAGGAAATGTCTGGAAAATGTCCTAGCAGAAAATAACCAGTATCTTTTTTTTTTCAACAGACATTTTTTCTTACAGTGCACATGAAATAGCCTAATTGTACTTTTCTTTGTCACACCACAGAACCATTAAAATGACTCATTGAAGGCAAAGGTAATTGGAAATAGGGGGAAATTGTGTCAGTTAGAGAACCTTAGATTTAAATATACTTTCCCCCCCTTCTACATGTAAATTTTAATCTAGAAACCTTATTTTAAATGAAAAAGAGAAAGTTCATGGACAACTATCCACATGTAAAATAACTTATATACCATAAAAATATATTGTAATTTTAATGTCACTGTATTCAGTCGTCGTAGCTAACCTTTTTTAGAGTTGCACCCGAGGGTGCTGGATGACCCTATGCGATCCAGCCTTCCCCCAAAACAGCCAGACAGGCTCTTGCTCCGGGTGGACATGAGAAGATCTATAAGGCGGTTTCTCGGTGTCTCGAATCCATCTGGGAGGTTGGTGTCCTCCGCTGGAGCTGCTTCGTCCTCTCTGTCTCTGTCCCAGGACGTGGAAGCGGGGCTCTGCTCCAGCATGGTGTTGCTGTCTTCATAATCTACGGCTCTGTCTTCTGTGGCCAGGGCTTCCTCAAACTGCTGCAATAAGCTCTGGTAGAGCAGCACAGGGTAAACGGAGTTGAATATAATAGACTTTCCATTGAAACATTTTCTTCTCGTAAAATCTGTATAACTGATTCAGTGCCTTTAATATTATTTGTACGCTTAAGCTGATAATATACACTCTTAAAAAAATAAAGGTTCCAAGGGGGTTTTCGCAGTTTTTGCATATTAACCATTTTGGTTACTTTATTTCGATGGTCCACTTCCTACATTCTACTACATGTCAACTAACTCTCAGTAGAGTATTAGTAGACTGTCTGCTTAATATCTGCTAACACTTTATTTTGATGCTCCACAACAGACATTCCACTGACTATTAGTAACTCTGAAACTACATGTCAATTTATTCTCGAACCCTAACCACTAACCCTAACATAACGGTTTACTAACAGTCTACTAATACTCTAATGAGAGTTAGTTGACTTGTAGTTCAAATGTCTAAAGTGGACCATCGAAATTAAGCATAACCCAGTTCATTTTTTTTTGTTTCACTTTATTTTGATGGTCCCTTTAACACATTCTGTTGTCTATAAGTAACTTTGCAACTAGATGTCTACTAACTCTCATTAGAGTGTTAGTAGAGTGTTAGTAGACTGGTAGGGTTAGGGGTTATAGTCAGTGGAATGTCTGTTGGAGGAGCATCAAAATAAAGTGTTAGCAGATATTAAGCAGACGGTCTACTAATACTCTAATGAGAGGTAGTTGACATGTTGCAACGTTACTTCTAGTCAACAGAATGTTCAAAAGGGACCATTAAAATAAAGTGTTACCGTTTTTTTTTTTCTTAGAACATTTTAATAATCTAAAGAGCCTTTTCCCCCCAATTTTAAAGAACCTTTTGTGCAATGGAAAGGTTCAGTGGATGTTAAAGGTTCTTCACGGAACCAAAGATACCAATAAAGAACCTTTATTTTTAAGAATGCAGTTTCTTGCCTGTTTAGCTCACAATAAATCTCATTTAATTCAAGGCCTTGATGAGTAAACAGATCCAAACGATCTGCTTTCACAGCAAGTTCTCTAGGTTTTTAAGAAAAGGGATTCAAAGCAGAAATACCTTCAGCTTGGCCATGTTGCTGGCAGAACTGTGTCTGCTCAATGTATGCGCCTGTACATCCATCTGGTGCCAAAGCAGGACCAGTAGTCCTGTAAGAATGAGTTCTCTGATCATCTCTGGGTTCCTCTGGATGCTGTTTCTTGCCCTCTGAACTGGCCGTCTGCCTGCTTCACTCTTATATAGGGACAGTTGTCTGTCAGGAGCTCATCTTTGTAAACTGTGTGAAGTGCATTCCAACACCTCATCTCTGATAACGTTCCTGGACTAGATTTCCTTTTAAGTGGCTGTTTGGTGCAGTGTGAGGTGCCTTGCCGGAGAACTCCTGATCTGTGTTGGGTCTGGTAACTCGGACACAAACAGTGACTTCAGGCATCATCGGGAATGCATCCGCTACACGAGTGTCTCACATGGTTCCGCATCACCTCAGAACTGATACAAAAGTATACCATAGGGGGTTAAAGCAGACGATGGTCTATATATAGCCCAATGATGTTGACTGAGATGGAAAAACAGTAAATAAAAATACACCTTTACTTTTACCCCTGTTGTGCAAGCTAAACTAAACTCAATTAATTTATCTTAACTAGACACATTTTAAAGGGATACTTCACCTCTGGAAAGATGAATGTGTATTTAAAATGGGTCATTTATGTAAAAGAGAAATGTGAAATTATTTTTTAATTTGGAGCTTTCTAGACTGAGAAAAGCCAGAAAATGTACTTTTTGCTTATGTGGATGAAAGACAACAACTCCCAGAATGCACTTGCTTCGCTGCCCTAGGAAGCCACCGTAGCCACGCCTACCGGTAACGGAGCGCAGTAGTTAAACAACAAGTCTAGGCTACTTGTGAGTCTCCGTGATGAGTCTGCCCGGGATTTCGAGACATAGACAGTATAAGAAATGGACAGAGCCATCTCATTGGAACTCAGTTGAGACAGTTGAAGCCCATTTTTTGCGATTTCTGAGCACTTCCGTTCCTGACGCGCAGACTCAAACCGACTCAAACTAAGCTTGATGACGTGAGCAACCTGTCTGACAGACGTTACTCTTCTAGTAGCTGTGCGTGAAAATTGCCAACGTTAATCTTGCAGAGACGGGGAACTTGAGCAAAGAGTTCTTCGGCGTGAGTGAGCAGGAGTAAGTATTCCGTTGCTTTTATGGACTCATTATCTATGGGCTTCTACCTTGACGGGGCGTCCCCCCGATTGCCTGCGAGCTTCTCTTCCTGTCTATACGGTAATTTCTGTACAGCGCGACAGAGAGTCGAGTGGTTATGACGCAATCGTTAGCCTATTTTTACTAAAACTGTTTCTACGGGACCATAATGTAACATAGAAGGTAATGGAGCACTTTATACATTGTCGTGTTTCTTTAGAAATAAATAATGGACAAATGGAGTCTTTAAACGCCTCAGATGTAAAGTTATTCGCTGTCAAAGTGACGCCAAAATGAATGGGAGTCAATGGAAATGCTAACCCAAGTGAAGTTCTGCTACAACATGGCGGCACCTGGCCGGCTTCAACTTCCGGTCGATGGATTACCCCCTTGTTTCGAGATCGCCCAAAATGTCCGGGATTCGGCTTTTGCGTTCTACAGTCGTCATTCCTTATTTTTTTTTAATACCTTGAATATAACTCCACACCCTTGCTTCATTTCGCCTTTGTCACCATTGGCTTTTGGCTTGCTTAGTTGGGGACATTTCATTTAATATTCCACAATATTATTGATCTGCCTTCACGGACTCAATTATATGAGAACTAAACTGAGCTGGACGATGACATCGCGGTTTTCTCCAGAGCGGCTATATATATAAATTAACTAAATTAATAACTTTTTTACAACAAAAATTAACCATTGCTGAATTTACTTAAGCTGGACTGTGATGCTATTTTCTTCTGGAAACAAACTTTGTAGCATTATTTTCCTGTTATCTTTGTAAAGCTGCTTTGAAACAATCTGTATTGTAAAAAGCGCTATATAAATAAAGGTGACTTGACTTGACATGACTTGACTATACGCTGAGCCATGTATATGCAAAGTAGCCCTGCCTCCACTCAATCACTCAAGCTCAGAATACCTAATCCACTCGGTCAACTTTACTGTACTGCTGCACAATGGCCAGTGGAAGAGTGCATTTTTTTAGGCTAATCTACAAGTCGATATTCAGAATAGTAATCCGTTTTATGTATAGCTCTCTACAACATCGAACACATTTCGGCGGTAATTAATATGATTAGCCTTTTGCCCGACTACTTTATTAAACATCTAATAATGTGTTGCTAATGCATGTTTCCGTTCGCCATCTCAGTCTACCTTCTAAAACGAAGTATTTCCCCCCCGAGTCTCGATTTCTGTTGAGACAGTCAGATGGTAGAGTCAGAATTTGGCGCAAACAGAATGAGAACATGGATCCATCATGCCTTGTTACCACTGTGCAGGCTGGTGGTGGTGGTGTAATGGTGTGGGGGATGTTTTCTTGGCACACTTTAGGCCCCTTAGTGCCAATTGGGCATCGTTTAAATGCCACGGCCTACCTGAGCATTGTTTCTGACCATGTCCATCCCTTTATGGCCACCATGTACCCATCCTCTGATGGCTACTTCCAGCAGGATAATGCACCATGTCACAAAGCTCGAATCATTTCAAATTGGTTTCTTGAACATGACAATGAGTTCACTGTACTAAAATGGCCCCCACAGTCACCAGATCTCAACCCCAATAGAGCCTCTTTGGGATGTGGTGGAACGGGAGCTTCGTGCCCTGGATATGCATCCCACAAATCTCCATCAACTGCAAGATGCTATTCTATCAATATGGGCCAACATTTCTAAAGAATGCTTTCAGCACCTTGTTGAATCAATGCCACCTAGAATTAAGGCAGTTCTGAAGGCGAAAGGGGGTCAAACACAGTATTAGTATGGTGTTCCTAATAATCATTTAGGTGAGTGTATAAACAACATTAGAATCTTGATTTTCACCACAGGGGGACATAAGTCATTTTTAAATTTAAACCAATCCATTGTTTTATGTGAATGATAAGCCAGGATGATTTTCAGATCATTTTGAAGAAAAAACTCTAGGCAACAACATCCATTAGTCAAAAGTCTTGTGGACAGATATTTAGTATGTGTTTTGTGGCCTTATTTCAGAAACTTTAAGTTTTAGTTTTTTCAATAACCACGCATAAACAATATTCTCTCAAAAATACAAAAATGTACATACATGTTGATAACACATTATGGTAGCCCTGTGTGTGCTAAATAGAGTGTAATTACACCTTTGCCAGTAATATGTTTATAAGCAACTGAAAAAAGCACAAATGTCAGAGTATGTCAAAACATCTCAAGGACCCCAAAAACACCTTGGACCCCAGAGGGTTAACAACTTCAACTGCGAGACTCTTTGTTCTCAATTTCACCGACAAACCTTGTGACAACATACAGTAGGTCTAAATTATAGTAGTCAGGATTATGATCTTGAGTATTGTGAGGCGATGTCGCTCTCCATGGTGCTAAAACAGGTTGCATTGATAATGATGGCCCGAGGGTGGACTCCATAGTTTGATCACTGTATTTTTGTTGTTGTCAGGCAAAGAACATTATCAATCCCCTGAACCTATAGTGTTCTCAAATAACTATATTTTTCAGTGACCTTGAGCTTGGGAAAAGTGCTTTATAAATAAAAATCATTATTATAATTAGCCTATTAAAGAAAGCAGACCAGAGTTCAATATAACCTATTCACATTATGATGTAAATCTTCATTACGTATTGTGAAAACTCTTTCTACCATCATATGCATGGGTTCTTAAAGAAAAATAAATAAAATTGAATAAGAATGAAAGATGTCCAAAACCAAGGCATGTGTAAACATTTATTGTATATTAAAGAGGGCATGTACAACTGATTTGACTGATAATTAAATTAAAGATGCATACAAATATATAACTCCACAATTTAAATAATTTAATTAATAAATATGCATAGTTAAGAACATTTTTGGAGTCTTACAGATAAAAACACTATAAAAATTCAGGTAACCTAAGACGTGCTTCAAATGGTAACATCTAAATTTAAGTTTTTTTGTTCAAGTCAACATAATTATTCATTATGACTGAATCAACCTGAATGCACTAGGTTACACCAAAAAAAGTCATTGTAAGGTCAGATCAAGTAAGTAACAACTGCACAGTTTCAATGTTTACAGTGTAGAAGCTGCTAATCATTAAGACTTCACTTCTTCTTAGGACCTGAAAAAAGAGAAAAATAGAGAAAAGTGCAAGTTAGAGAACCATCATACCATTATATTGAGTATTTTAAGGGGTTGAGAAAATGCACGCATTTGTCCAAAAACTGTTCATTAATTTTTATTCAACGTATTCTATGTTCCTATTAACTGTAGCTGTGCGATATAGAAATGAAGTCGTTACCTGACCGCCGGACAGTGTTACATCCCAGGGACGACATGGAACCGATTCTGTCTAGTCTGCTCCCGAAACACCCAGAGGATCTCTTGGAGTCCTGTCGGACTGTCCTCAAGTCCCGAGCAGACAGATAGTATCTCATGTCAGTCTTGGGATAAGTTTCAGCGATGGTTTCTTCTCGTGCCGCTTCTTCTTCCACTTTCGCCAGTATTTGGTCTTGAGAAGACGCAGGAATGGACTCTTCCAGTCTCTGTAGAAGAAACTGAAAGCGTGGCTCATTAGTCACTGTTAGTGCGAGCATTATTAAGCAAGTTTTCACCCTCTCTCTCTCTTATTCCTGATTTTGTTCTTACCTTTAATACATCCATGTCCTCTGTGGTTAAGGCTGAGTTTTGTAGCGGGTGTGCGCCTGTGAGCTGAACGCTGAAGAGTAAGATAAGGCAGACTAGAGGAATGTCAAACGATTTCATGTTTCCTGACTTTTTTTGCTGTTCTTCTGTCTTCTCTGTGTCGTTGTCTGTATACTTTCAGTTGAGCCTCAAGCTCTTTTATACCGAAAAGTTTGACACGCCAGTAATGTGAAGAATGGCTGCTGCATTCCAACACCTCAGTCTGATAAAGGCTGCTGTCGGAAATGACTCCTTTAAAGCTAATAGATGAGTCCAGACGGAAACTCCTAAATGATTACATTGTACTCTCTTCCCTGAAATCATTCACGTCAAGTGTCTTGCATTGCACTTTAAAGCAAGTTACAGTAGGCTACTAGGTTTTATGATAACACTTTATCTAACTTAATAGGCTAATTAGTCTGTCAGTAACAAACACTACAGGCCTAACAGTTTAACAGTTTAGGCTGAAAATATATTAATTGAAGTTGCAACTAATAAATTGTGAACATTAACCACCAACTCTCTGACAAATCATTTCGTACGATCGAGGACGGAGTTTGTGCTTTTTTAATCGAGAGTTTCTGTCTACGAATCAAATCGTACGATTTCATATGAAATTGGCAGATAAAAAAAAAATGTTTTCTCATGAGGTCATGAGAACTTTTAATGAACTTTTTAAATGGATACTTATCTTGTCTAATAGAAAGATCTAATTAAGACATTTGTAGGGGATATCAGAGTAGGGGAGGAAAACATATAAATAATGTTTATAAAAAAACAGCTATTATGGGTGTAATGTGTGTTCTGTAAGGGAGAATGTACATCCAGCCGGTTGTTATCTCAGAATAAATGGAGGGGTCTTGCATCAGCCTGAAGGGGGTTTATTCTGAGATAACAACCGGCAGGATGTACATAATCCCGCTTATTACACGTGGACTTGCCACATAAGTAAATAATTAGACACGAAATATTGATCTGAGTTGAAATTTTTATTTTATTAGGTCTTTAAACTCAAAGCTTACGCGGAGAGAGCAGTTGCTAGCGTGCCAGGTTCAAACTAGACAGACATTTAAGGGATACGATATAGTCACACCACTTATTACACAGAATTTCGCCACATAAATAATTATGGAGATAAGAGATATTGATCTGAGATTAAACCGTTTTAAAATCATACCTGTTTGTTATCCTATAATAGTCACAAAATGGCAGCAGATGCGTTTGTATTAAACAAGAGAGAGTGAGTCAACGATACTGGGTGGCATAATAATAATAATTAATCACATTTATATAGCGCTTTTCTGGACACTCAAAGCGCTTCACATAGAAGGGGGAATCTCCTCAACCATAATTAAATAACAGTATGCAAAGTAATGTATGTAAATAACAGTATGCAAAATATTGATTCGACTGAGTTTTAATTTTTTCTTAGCTTACCAAAAGCAAAACTTGACAAGAAGAAAAAACGTTAGCAAGTGTATAGCGCTGCTGACTTCAGTAACCCGGATGAGCCTGTGTTATCTGTTTTCAGCGGTTGTTATCGAAGAAGAAAATTCCACTGGATGGCACGATTGGCTAATCAGAATCAAGCATTTTATGAACTGTATAGGCATATACAGGGTTTGGACTATGAAACTGAAACACCTGGTTTTAGACCACAATCATTTATTTTAATTAATTTATATGCGGCCTTTTGTGGCCAAAACAGCATCAATTCATCTTGGGGACGACTGATACAAGTCATTCACAGTGACCAGAGGGATTCTGAGCCAGTGGCTGCATGGGTCACTATGTGATGCTGTTGGAGGAAAACGTTTGCCTCCAAAATACCCCAAAGTGGTTCAAAAATATTTAGATCTGGTACTGTGCAAGCCATGGGAGATGTTCAACTTCACTTTCATGTTCATCAAAGCATTCGGACACGAGTCTTGCTGTGTGTATTGGTGCATTATCATGCTGATACACTGCACCCCATTCAGGGTACAATGTTTGAACTATAGGAAAGGATTATTAGTCCTTGGCAGTGATGGGTCCATCAAGCACAGAATACCATATTGCAGCCCAATATCACTGATCAACCCTGTGCTTCACTCTGGACTCATCAGAGAACAATTCATGTTTCACATTGTCCACAGCCCAAAATTTGCACTGCTGGCACCATTGAAACTAACATTTCAGTGGCTGTGGCTGAGTGACCACAGGTTTGTCCATAGCAGCCCGACCGTGAACATTGACTCTGTGGAGCTCCCGATGAACAGTTTTGGTTGAAATAGAAGAGTCAAGGTGTGCATTTAATTCCGCGGTGAGTTGGGCCGCTTTGGTTTTATGCTTTTTGGACACAATCCGGGTTAGTACCAGAACATCTCTTTCAGACAGCTTCCTCTTGCGTCAACAGATGTGGTTGTGGTTCATCCTACACTATAAAGATGAATACGCTATATCTAATCAATAAAATTGTGGCAACAGATTACAAGCAATATTATTAATTAAATTTAACAAATTAGAATTGAGTAATAATTAATCAAATTAATTCCTTAAAAGTTAACCATTTAAAATGAATAAAATTGACACAAAAAATTAAACAAAAATATATGAATAACAGACATAAGTAAAAAATGAATTAAGAACTCTTTATTTTATATTGCCAACATTGAAGACACCTGATGTTAACAAGCAGAATCACTGGATGGAGAAAACCATAATTGTAAGTCACCATTATGGTGATCAGCGTTTGTTTTAGTTGGGCTCTTGACCCTTAAGTCATTAACTTAAAGCTTTGTTTGGCTGCTGTACCTGAGTTATAACAGCCAGATGAACAAATAGAAAGGTGATCTAATGGTGTTGGTTATGTTTTAACATAATCATTATTTCACAATCAGTTGACCTGAATCACTGAACTCATATAGAGCCCAATTTCTGAGTTAGGTTTACTTCATTAATTATAGCAGCACTGTCCTTATACAGCATAATATTTGTAACTTTTACTTTAACTCTGGAATAGTCTTCCTAGCCTTGTTAGATAAGCAGACACACTCTGTCAGTTGAAATCTAGATTAAAAACATCTCTTTAACCTGGCATACACATAGAACATTATCAATTTCTATTATTCATTTCAGTTAAATGATTGTTAGGCTGCATAAACTAGGTCAGCCGAAACTGGGAACACTTCCCATAACACCCGATGTACTTGATACGTCGTAAGAAGAATGGCATCTATGCTAATATTAGTCTGTCTGTCTCATCCTTATCCCGAGGTTACCGTAGTCAGCGGGATCTGGTCCGTATCCAGATCAGATGGTGGACCCGCACCTAGACACGACCACAACACAGCCCTGAATGTCAGCAGAGACTGTGTCTACTAGACAAGCCCCTGTGAAGGCCTTGTTGGCACAGATCCACAACAGAGACCAAAAGAACCAGACAGGTCCTTCACACAGACCCTATGGTCAGCTTCAGCTTAGCGTGATGAATCATAATGACACTATGTTCGTTCGTGAGCCAGAGGAGAACTGAACTCCTGTCACCTGATGGAGTTTGAGTTCCTTGCTACTGTTGCTCAGTTGGGGAAACTTAATATTCAGCAATATTATTGATCTGACGTAGGTTTTTTGCAGAACTGCTTTATTAAATGAATTAATTTAATAAGTAATGATCTTTACAACGGATCTGAATCAACACTGCTGAATCGACTTCAGCTGACTGCTTTGAAACAATCTGTATTGTATAAATAAAGGTGATTTGACTTGATTTGAAGATTGGCCACCGGTCGCGCATCTAAAGGTGTGAAACTATTGGCCAGTGTTTCAGTTTTATTGTCAACCCCCTGGAGGCCTACAATATATCTCATATCAGTTCTGTTTGAAAGGTCTCAGCCTTCACTTCCAAATGTTTCATTTCATTTGAGGTTTATAAAGGAAAACAGATCGACAGAAAGATGGTTAGGTTTATTACTTAATATGAATGAATGTCACGTAAAACAGCCCATATATGCTTTTACAGTTAAAATATAATAATAAAATAAAATATACTATTGATAATAATAATAAGGTCAAGTTTAAGTGCAAAAGAAGATTACATTTCATAAATGCTTTGTATTTTAGTTAGTAGCAAATTATGTATTAGCTACTCTAATTAACTTTTTCTGTAGCTAGAATTTTGTTTGTCTATAAATCACGCATAAATTCAACAGGCTACACAAATTCTCACTAGGACAATAGGATAATAACTTTATTCTAGAGCTGCTGCAAAGCCAAAACAATCTCTGTTACTTTAATTTCCTATCACTGTAAAGCTGCTTTGAAACAATCTATTTTGTTAAAAGCGCTATATAAATGAAGGTGACTTGACTAGATATTTACTTAATTGATTATGTCAATAAATTAATCATAATAAAGTGGACATTAGTTCCAGCATACACTGTAAAAAAGGTTTATCATGTAACCCAAATGTTTTAGTCATGCAACAGCTAAAAAATATTTTATTTGTCAAAAATCGACTGATTAAATTAGATAGAAATTTAACCTTTTAGTCACATTTGCATTTTTGAATCACTGGTTCGTTATGAAAATCAATAGTAAAAAGTATACTGAAACACCTTTCTGGGAGAGAGAGAAAAAAAAAGCTCTTTGAGTTTAGTTTTTTTTGTTTTCTTTCAATAAAGCAACGACGACATGAACATACGCAGTAATTTACAGTCTAAGTTCATTGCCAAATTTACTCAGTTTTAGACCACACTGACACACATGTTATGCAAAACATTTATTTTGCAGCAATATACATTATCTATACGAGTGAATTTAGAGAGGACATAAATAATAAAAATAAATAAATAAAAACAGATGCAACAGTACAAATCAGCAGTCTTCAAATACAAACTATTTACAAGTCTGAATCTTTAATAAATAATGACCAACACATACAGCATCACTTGAACACAAATCTACGGTAAACTTGCAGTCAACACTTGTTTTTTTCAATAGAAGATATGCCTGCCCAGGTGTGTCAAGTAGCCTATCTCAAGTCCCAACCTGCAAGAAGGGACATGACATTAAGTAATAAGACATGACTTGGTTTATTTCTAATACGCGTTTGAACAATTTCCAATGTTTAGCCTAAATCTCATCAAGATGACCAAACATCTCCTAAAATACCTTAACACCCGAGCCCGCTAAAAGACCCGATTCTTTCGAGTCTGACCCCAAAGCAGCTCCTCAGTCCGCCTTTCTTGAATCGAGTCCACGAGCGCTTGGAAGTGGACAGTAAGTCACCCAGGAGACGCTCGAAAGCTCTGTCTTTTCCCGCCAGCGCGGAGTTGCGCGCGTCTGATTCCCACAGTTCCGCGCGCTCGTCCCGTGCGCTCTTCTCCTCTCTCGCATCCTTCTGCTCCATCGTCGACTCATCAGACTCCACAAACGGCGTGTTGACTCCTTCATCTAACAACTGCTTAAGACTCTGCTGTAAAAAATGTATATGATTAGTCAGGGTCTAATAATAAACGTTTAAGAATAGTGAGCTAAGACTGAAAAACTCACCTGTAAACTGGAAACTGGTTTGGCACCGACCAAGTTTAAAAGTAGAAGTGAAGACACGCAGAAAATAGAGATGTTGGCGATCATTGTTGTATTGTGGAGAGCAGCTCAGTATCTGTGCGCGGCTCTGTTTAGTCTTCGCTCGTACCCAAGCACCGTGTCCAGGTGCGCTCTTTTATTTCGCTGGTTTCGTCACGGTCACCCAGGAAAATCCAGCCGACCCTACGGGGAGGGCTTTTCATTTTCATCAAGATCCCACCTTGTTCACCACCGATCATTAAAATGGTGACGTGTGCCGGAGCCTCCTTCAAATTACACTGTATGTCAAGCGCAAAGAACATCATCTCGTGTATTGTCATGGAGGTGCACTCTATATAGCCTCATTTGCGCGCACACGCTTAAAAATAAAGGTTCCAAAAGGGTTTTTTTTTTCTCACAGTGATGCCATAGAAGATGACACATTTTTGGTTCCCCAAAGAACCTTTCAGTGGACAGCACCAGTTTTCTTATATTTTAGTAATTATTAGTAGTTATTTTTCCTATTTAAAGAGCCTTTTGTGCTTTGAAAAGGTTAAATGTTCTTCATGGAACCATGATGCCAGTAAAGAACTTTTATTTTACCACACAAAAAAGATCAGTGGGGTTCTGTGTATAACCCAAGAATTATTGACTCAATTTTAAAGAACAATTTTTATGCCAAATTGGTTCAATCACTCTTAAAATAAAGCTTCCAAAAGGGGTTCTTCCATGTCATCGGTGTGGAAACCACCTTTTGGAAGCTTTAATTTAAGAGTGATCGATAACTCTTGGGTTCCATACAGAAAGCTAAACCCAATTCAGTCTTACTATCCAATACCTGGTGCATTTAGTTCAAGACTGTATACAAATTGCCAGAGCAAGAAATAAGTGAGGGCATGTTCTACCTAGAAGCTGTGTTGGTCTTGATATGTTCAATTGCAATATTTATGTTAATTAGACATGAAGTCAAACATCTATAAACTGGCTAGCTAACCCCATTTTGACTTTACGAACACAACGAACATGTTTCATGAAAGCTGAAAACACTGACAGGGTTTGGAAGCAGCATGTATCCTTCATTTATGAAATCCCATAGTCCTGTGTGTGTTGTTTGGTGGTGGTGGTGGAAAGAATAAAAATGGTTATGTAATTTTTAAATCAACTTATAATTAAATTTCTACAGAAAAAAAATCATTATAGTTGAATTTGTTCTAAATCATAAGAGGCAACATTATGAAAAGCTTGTCTGAGTTTCATTACGAGGTATTTTCTGTCAGTTCAGTTTCCAGGTTTTCATGCAGTGTGTGGTTAACTCTTGCTCTAAAGTCTTCTCAAAAGAGATTCATTGCTTGGACTCAATGTGATGTGAATGCATAGCAGTAGGGTTTTGATGTGGTGGTGGGGCAAAAAGTCAGAGGTTTCTTTACACCTAAAGATGATCCAAAAGACCTTATTCACAGCAGCACCATCTTTGATTTTTAACGGGAATGAAAGCGAGGCTGTGAGGGATGGACACATTTCTTCAGTGAGTTGTATTGTTATTCAATGTGTTTTTGGATTGCTCTGCTGACGAAACTGCAAAAATATCACTCAAATTTGTAAAGCCTTTTTAAGATGAATGCAATTGAATAGTAGAATTTCATCAAATTGAATTGAATAATCCTTACGTATTTTAATTGACTAATTGAACAATACTCAATCAATTATTCAATTAAAATATGTAAGCATTATTCAATTCAATTTGACGTCTTTCCAAGAGATTTCAGTAGACAAAAAACACCAGACAATATGAGCTGTGGAAAACTAAAAGTGATCTAAGAGCTTTTTACAACGGATACCATTGAAAACACGGTAAGTCTATCCCTCACAGCCTTGCTTTCATACCTGTCACGGCACTGCTCTGAATGGTCTATATAACTGTAGAAATATGTTTTCAAAAGGCTTCAAACAATAGAAAGGAACACACAATAGAAGTCTTCAGCTGAATTTTCCCATGTGGGTGGATTTGTGACCACCTTTATTTGGTAGATGTTTGAATCACATTGAAATAAACATAATTCTAACCACTAACACAATTAATACACAATAGAAAGCAATTTCTCAACACTAGCTGAAATATATAATTTTTCAATCAATGTTACTTTCTCCTATTCCTTGTAGAGACAACTTTAAGTAAGCCGTTTGGAGGTTTATTTTCATCAAAACATTGCTCTGTGTATTTGGGCCTGGCATAGCAACATTGTCTCAGCCAATGGCGAGAGCTTGGGGTGAGACTAAGTGACCAATGGTAGACAGGAGAATTGTTTAGGAAACCTATTTGAAAACAATCATTGTTCTTACAGTTGCTTTTGGTGACGCCAGTGGCTCCGAAATTACACACTTCAGCTTTAACCCATCTTTGTCTCTCATTACCATCATATTGTCTATTGGCTGCGTTTATTACATTCTCTCATATTTCATTTGGGAAGCTCTTAACTTCAAGCACAGTTCACTGAGCACTGCTCTTTCCCTGATGAGAAGCCGATGGGGCTAATTAAGATTTTAATGACAGGCTTGCACAGCAGTCTGTTTCAAATGTCATTTATTAGCTAAAGAAATCATATTCGTGATGTATAATAAATGTGTTACAAATAAAACAACTACACTGCAAATCATGATTAGATAAATCAGTGTTTAGATATTTGCTTTTATTGTCCTTTTAAAAACTTGTAATTTCAAAATCAGACATTTCAACACAACAATTAGTGTTAAATATTTTTATGGCCACATGTCATTAGACTTGCAGAGGGAAAGATATCTTCCAGATGGCCTCCGACCTGTTTTCCTAATAGCTGCTCTAGATGCCGATGGCCGCTAAAATGCTAATCAGTCCCTGTTTGCCTTCATACTGTGCTCCAGTGGAAAGCTTGCAAGAGATCATCAGTCAAGCCCTTGCCACCTGTCCTCCTCATGCTGCGTGGAAACTAGCCTCAGGGCTTTATTGGTTTGAGCCAGGCCTCTCTTGGGGTTCAACCCAAACCTGAATAGCCAGCGGTCATGTTAAAAGGATGAGATACATTTATCTTAAAGTTTCTTGCCCTACCTTGATCTTGGCATGATACACACACAGGCTTCCTGTTTGAGATCACCATTCACAAAAGTGGCCTAATTTAATAGAATATTCTAAGTTAAACTTAATCAACAGTATTTTTTCTTATACAATAATTGTGACTCGTCATCCCTTGTTTAGGTCAGTCAGTTATTTTTTTCCACACTAAGACCATGTCAATGCTAATATTGTTTAGAAGCAGCACTAAAGCAATGAGCATTTTAATGTTTATGGATTGGCCTCATAAAAAACAAAAACCTGTTTTTACAAAAATCAAAACAGCTGTGCTTGCCAGAATAATTCTGTAAAAATACAGTAAAAATGTAAACATCTTTACAAGTCAAGTCAAGTCACATTTATTTATATAGCGCTTTTTACAATACAGATTGTTTCAAAGCAGCTTTACAGAGATAACAGGAAAATAATGCAACAAAGTTTGTTTCCAGAAGAAAATAGCCTCACAGTCCAGCTTAAGTAAGTTCAGTGATGTTTCATTTTTGATGTAAAAAAGTTATTAATTTAGTTCATTTACATATATAGCCGCTCTGGAGAAAACCATGATGTCATCGTCCAGCTCAGTTCAGTTCTCATAATGGTGTCAAGGCAGGCAGATAAATAATATCAGAGGTTAAAGTGAAAAAAAATTCCTGAACCTGAACTTTCTTTTGGTGTGTGTGGGGGGGCGGGGGGGTGTGGGGGTGTGTGTGTGGGGGGGCGGGGGGGTGTGGGGGGGGGGGGTCTGGTTCTGCACATATGGACTTATCTTCAATGGCACCATATATTTTCAAGTATTACAGCTGTATCTTAATGTCATCTTTTTTTATGAATGAAGGCCAGTATCACGGAAAGTCTGAAATACGATGTGTTCATCGCTCTCACCTCAATGGCTGGGTGAAGTCCCAGCCGCATATTTGAGGTGATGGCCAACACTCGCGCATTACAAGTTCAACCTACTGAACTTTGTGGTGTGGGCCCAAGGTGCTTTCTTCGGGTCATCAGGTGGGTACCCTCCTTCAACAGTGTTTCATCAATTAACCCACAACACCTCCAGAGGGCTTGACAGCTAACCCCAGCATCCTGGGGCAGCCCCCTCGGCCCCTTGGGCTCCACTGCCAGTGCTCTTTTATGTTCCCTCCCTACCCTGTGGGTTGTTCCATCGCTCACAGCGCTTCAGCCACAGCCATCTCGATGCTGTCTCTGCTCTTCTTGTGATATTCGCCATAAGCCATCTCCTGCTGGGACCTCTTATTCCAAGTCTGGACAGGGCGCTCCAAAGTGACTGCCCAGGAAATCCTCGGCAGCCTACTTCCACTGGCAAGTTCCATGCCCGCCATCCCACCTGTTGGCACTGTTGGGTGAGTGGTTGGTACTTCCCACGCTTTCTCTCATGGGCCTCTTCTATCCTCTCCTCCCATGGCACAGTCAGTTCAAGCAGCACCACCTGTTTTGTTGCTCTGGACCAGAGAACTATGTCTGGTCTGAGAGTTGAAGTAGTGATCTCCTCTGGAAACTTGAGCTGTGTCCGGAGGTCAACTCTCATGTCCCAGTCAGTAGCCGATGTCAGAATTCCTGCGCCAGAGGATGTCCTACTAGAGCTCTCCCCCGCTCTAACAAACCTAATCAAACAGGGTCCTGTCGTCCTCGTGCTTTTGTGGGTCTTCCTTCTCTCTTCCTCCAGGCCTGTAGCTAGCACGGCAAGTATCTGGTCATGCCTCCATCTAAACTTGCCATCAGCCAGGCTAGCCTGACATGAAGACAACACATGTTCAAGGCTTGCCGGTTTCCCACACAGCGTGCAGTCTGGGCTCTCAACCAGCCTCCAACGATGGAGATTCACTGGTGTTGGTAGCACATCATATGTGGAGCACAGAAGGAATTTTATCCTCTTATCCTCCATGCCCCACATATCCCTCCACCCCAATGGTCTTCCTTGGACACCGCCCCAACATGTCCACCTCCCCTGATTTTTCATGGCTGCTGCCCTCGCTTGCCTATCCTCCTCCTCTACCATACGGAGCTCTTCCTGGAACTAGGCTGCGGCGACCTTTGGCATTAGCATCCTTCCACCTGGCTCTGGTTATAACTCCTAGGCCCAGCCTGCCTTGGTTGACCATCCCCACGATGTCTTTGTGGCGTAGCCTTGCCTCTGCGTCTGCC